TTATCGATTTGAGGCCCACGCATTATCCAAACGTTTCGAGTCGGTGATTGTAGGAGAAACAAGATGGCTGGTGACAGATTTTCGTGAAATTGGGCTATATATTGTTTATGTAATTAAATTGTTTTTGCCCCTTTTTAGATAGTTTATCTGGCGCGTAAGCTTAGATAAAGCTGACCTTCGGTGAGTGGTTTTTGCATTGATGTATGAAACGGCTTGAACTTACATATGTTGTTTTCTTATTGAATATATCTTATACGATTTAAATTCTGGTACCGGTGTATTCTCTAGTAATAGTCGTTTGGCAGCTTTCGTTTACACATGATCTTGCCTGCAATTTTTTTTTTTTTTTTAAACAAAACGTCCATTTTCAAGTCAACTGAAGCCTTGGCATCTTATAGAAATCGAATCAACAGTGTTCTCCATTCCTAACACCGGCGCAGACATTTTTTGAAGACTTGCGCCGAGGCACCAAATCTGTTGCTTCGTGGAGTTTAGCTGGGGCTGCAGTTTTCAACAACCTTCTGTGGAGATAATGGAGTTCTTAACGTAACATAAATTCCAGCCCTGAAATAGTAAGTAAATGTTCATAATTGTTTGTCATTGCTTTAGCAAGGGGTTTGGCGAAGTAGTTCAGCAGTTTGTCTCTTGCTCTGACGGTTGTGGATTTAAGATTTATCTTGGCGAGTGTAGATATTTTGGAGACGGTGTTGGATTTACATTGCCTCAAATCTGTCTTGTAGAGGTGGCATCTGAATGATTGATAAATTAATTCATAAATTCAAACATTTTACTTCTCCGTTGTGAGTTCCAGGGCTCATCGGAAACGGGTTGAGGGGTTGGGAGAATAGACCCACTGTGCACTCACAAGCATGTCGTAAAAGACTACTAATAGTGTTTCCTTCCAGGGTGCATCTACCTGAGAGGCAAGGCAGCGAAAGTTTGTATAAAGATAAATCAGGTAAGCCTTATTTTGCATCTACCAGAGAGGCGAGGTACCGACAGGTCGCATATAGATAAACCAGATATGTAAAACGGATGTGGACGCAAAACTCAATTTCTGGAACAAGATCAAAGTCCAGAAGATATAAGTAATCAAAACTCTTGGCAGGAATTCACAAAGAACGCTAAAAAGAAGAACTAGAAGAAACAAAATACTGTACATACATTTACGGTGAACAGTTTGACTTACTTACTATATCTTTCCTACCAGCCTTTTTTTTTCAAAGTCATTATTCATTTAATTTTTATTTACTAGTATATGTTTTAAAAATGCATTAACAGTAGCATTTCTCGCGTGACTGCTTGGTGTTTGTGAACACTTATAATAAGGATACACAGCTTATTGAGTGAATTTTGTTAAAGCAGTTACACAAGGGCACTACTTAAAGCGATATAATATTCTCGTAATTGTGAAATTCAAAATCTCTGTAACTTTATGAGGGAAATTCTTCAAATTACACACAAGAATGGCTTGGATTCTAGGAATTATTTGACAGTTCTTTTGCGCCTGGGTCATCGACACTTTTTAGACGTACGGGATTTCCCGTCAACAATCACGTCATAAGTGTTACTGTTTCAGAAAACATGCCGAGGAAGGTGAGGATATGCATGCTTTGTGTACAGGACAAGCTTCGCTTCGGTCACGAGTAAAGAGCATTGTCTGGATCTTTCGTCTGATATGCCAGTGTGTTGGGAAATGAAGACGCGGACAGACTGGCTTGCTCCGCACAACTTGTGGGAATACTGATGCATGATGAGAAGACGTAGTTAAGGCCTTATGGGAGGGCGTAAACAGCCGGGAGCAGCCAATGGATGGTCACACTCTGGTGAGAGTGATATAGCGGGGAGTGACCAGGAAATCAGGCCGATACCTGACGCTCAGAGTAAAAGGCAAGACGGACTCATAATCAGACTGCTACAAGTACCATTGGTATTGCAACTTTGCGCTGGCTGTTGAAGAGGGGGACGGGGCGCTTATGGGAATGCCTCGAGTACTGTCATGCCAGTTCTTGAATCAACTCACCTCCCGGTAACTAATTAAAAACGCGCCATCGGACAAACAAGTGTCATTTTTAACATGAAAGCGTCATCAGATAATATGGGGATTAGGTAAGAGGGGGTGTTGAACAGTATTAAAAACACAAGGAGCTAGATATTGTGAGGGCCCTTTGGCAGCGAGTGAACAAAGGCACATATAGATCATTACGGTTCTGAGGAGAATGGCGCTGCGAGGAGTTACCAGGGGATCTGGCAGACGCTTATGGGGAAAACGAGACGGATATTCAGTCAGTTACTGATGCCATCGGAATTGAAAATCTTCGCTTGCTGCTAAAGATGGGGACCGTGTGCTTATGGGAGTGTCCCGAGGGCTTTGATGTCGATTCCTAATTCAACATTCAAACACAAAAGAAATGCAACAAATAAAACATATTGTTCACACCTGTAGTTCATTCATTCATTCAGTAGCATGTCCCTCGCGGAACCTCGCTGCCATAACAACCCTCCGGAAAACCTTCCTATCATGAGCAAGATGTCCTGCGTCTGATACACCCATCTGGAGATCATCTGCCACATCCTGCACCCATCTTCTCCTTGGCCTTCCTCTTCCTCTCTTCCCAGGCATATACCCCTCCATTATTGTTCTCTCTAGACCTCCATGACGTTTCAAGTGACCAAAATATTTCAATTTTCTTTGTTTTATTGTCTTTACTAGCCAACCCTCTTCAATATTCAGCTCTTGAAGTATGGATGCATTTGTTCTTTTCTTTACCCAAGATATTCTTAGAACCTGTCTGTAACATTTATATTCAAATGCATTTATGCGCTGTTCCGCTTGTTTAGTAAGTGTCCAGGTCTCACAGGCGTATGTTGCAATGGGAAAGATGCATGCTCTTAAAAATCTGACCTTTGTAATTCTATCTGTACAATTCCATAATTTATTCAGTTGTTTTTAGTCTTTGAAGAGCAATTGATAGTCGCCGTTTAATTTCTTTCATTGTGTCACCATTGTTGGTAACCAGTGACCCAAGATATTCGAAATTTTCCACCACTTCCAATCTTTCCTCATTAACATATATTTCCTTCTCCATGGCAGTTTTGTTTGTATGCATTATCTTTGTTTTTGCTGTGTTAAGAAATAAGTTATGATTTTCACTATTTCTTTGGAGTGAGGTTAATAAGTTTTCTAAACCATTTTGTGATGTTGATAGTAATACTGTATCATCAGCATAACGAATTTCTGGTATTTCATGACCACCGATGTTTAGGGCATCATATTGTTCCTTGTTTATATCATCTCTTACATTTCTCATTATATTTTCGGCGTACAGGTTGAACAAATACGGTGACAGCACACATCCCTGACGGACTCCTTGCTTGATGCCAAACCAGTCTGATGTCTCTCCATCTATTCTGACTGCTGCTTGTTGGTCTTGATAGAGCATTTTAATGAGCTGCACTATATGTGATGGAAAGCCCATATTCCTCATGATTTCCCAAAGCTTCTGATGTTGTACACAGTCAAATGCTTTTGAATAATCCACAAAACATAAGAACAGATTTACATTAAATTCTCTACACTTCTCTATTATTAAACGCAGGTTGAATATATGATCTCTTGTTCCTCTTCCCTGTCTAAATCCAGCCTGAGCTACATTAATCTCTTCTTCCATTTTCTTTTGCAGTCTTCTCATTATAATTTTTAGTAGAATTTTACTTGCATGACTGATCAGGGCAATAGTTCGATAGTTTGTACATAATTTCAGGTCACCCTTTTTTGGTATTGGAATGAAGATAGTTCTCTTCCAGTCTTTTGGCCAAATACCATATTTCCATATCTTTTCACATAATGCATGATAGATTTTTATGCTTTCTTCTCCTCCCGCTTTAATCAATTCAGCTGGTATCTCATCACATCCAGGTGATTTACCATTTTTCAGGCTCCTTATTGCCCATGAAATTTCATCTAATGAAGGTTCAGGTTCTGCCTCTACTGTTACTGGTTCATGTATATCATTCATATCCTCACTGTCATTCATATCATACATTCCGCTGCAGTATTCCTGTAGTACATCAGATATTTAACCAATAATTTTTAGTCCAATTTACACACATTACCAACACCACGCCAGCTCTGTCGGCTTCCCATGACATGTCCTGACTTGGGAACATCAGTCAATTACAACAACTCGTCTCAGTATGTACTCAAATCCCAGACCGTTAGGTCGTAATGCAAACTATCTATCTATCTATCTATCTATCTATCTATCTATCTATCTATCTATCTATCTATCTATCTATCTATCTATCTATCTATCTATCTATCTATCTATCTATCTATCTGTCTGTCTGTCTGTCTGTCTGTCTGTCTGTCTGTCTGTCTGTCTGTCTGTCTGTCTGTCTGTCTGTCTGTCTGTCTGTCTGTCTGTCTGTCTGTCTGTCTGTCTGTCTGTCTGTCTGTCTGTCTGTCTGTCTGTCTGTCTGTCTGTCTGTCTGTCTGTCTGTCTGTCTGTCTGTCTGTCTGTCTGTCTGTCTGTCTGTCTGTCTGTCTGTCTGTCTGTCTGTCTGTCTGTCTGTCTGTCTGTCTGTCTGTCTGTCTGTCTGTCTGTCTGTCTGTCTGTCTGTCTGTTTGTCTGTCTGTCTTCTTCGCGTTCACGGTTGTAAAGTACGACGGAAAATTTTGGTTGTTTGTCCACCTTTGGACGGTAGTATTGTTCCAGTACCTGAGTGGTACGTGCACTTACGTTTTACAGATGACATTTCTGTATGAAGAATGTTGGTTCCTTGCCTCAGAAATCATAGAAAACCCACCAATTAGTCGTACCTACGACATGCTTGTTGGGGACACAGTGGATTTATTCTTGTTTCCCCAACAATGGAGCTTCAGATCACGCATGGGGAAAACGTCTCTATAGTTTCACGACCTTCAAACGTAATAATACTAAAAGTTAACACATAAAACTTTTCAAAGTTTATCCATTTCATTATTTATCTCCTCAGACATGGATAGCTATACGTTTGCATTTGCTGGTCCGGCGTTTAGGAACAAGGCAAGATCATTTTTATCGCAGTTCTCCGACTCTTTCAGCGCTTTCTCAAAATACATTGCACCATCCTACCACCATGACCGATGCGAAAGGTAAAGTAATGTACAGTAAACCTTTCTCATTTAGTTGTACTGGATATTTGTTTCATTATATATGTATATATATATATATATATATATATATATATATATATATATATATATATATATATATATATATATATATATTTCAAACCCTATTACATGCTTGTTCTGGCAGTTGGGAATGATTTCATGCTCCGAAACTCGATACTTTGTGTGTGTGTGTGTGTGTGTGTGTGTGTGTGTGCTCGCGCGCGCGCACACAATTTATTTTTTATAATAATTTTTCAGATACATTTCTTTATGCCTTTAATATCTATATGTGCTTTCCTAATATCCTTTCTGATTCTGTTCTGTGGTTATTATTTTTTTTAGAGGGTTTATCATTCCCTTGTAGTTCCCACAGTAAATGTTGGATCTCCGGTCTGCTCTGTCCCTCAGTCTGCTGCTTCGTCCATATCTTTACGTCGTCCTCCCACTTGTCTAGCTATCTACCCAATTCTGTTCTGCCTTCAAAGTTTATTCCCAGTACAATTTATTCAAATTAGAGTGTTTATATTTTTTTTTTTATGTCAAGAAACAGATTATAAACGGCATATTCATACCATCACTGTGCTACCAGTGACAGACTTTGACATTCTTCCAGGATAACCTACGTAAAATTAACACCTCTGAAATGAGATGCCCCAGAAAAGCCGCCAACTTAACCATCCGAGACAAAGAAGTGATATTATCAAATAGACTGTAGGAACAACATCATGCAGCAAATTCATTTAGAAAAAGAAGATCAAATGGTTTGGTCATCTAGTAAGAATGCAACCAGAACAACTACCAACGCAGGCACTACACACGAAACGATCTGAAGTGAAATAAAGAGGCCGCACTAGAAGAATATGGATCGATGACATTAAAGAGCTTCTACATCGACATGGAATGACAATAGCCATAGCTGCCCATATCGCAAACTGTTTCTCCTTACAACGCTTAACGCTTAACGGCAGAGGTGGCATTTGAATGATGACGATGAATGTGGTCTTGTAAGGGTGGGTTATAAACTTCGCTAATAAAGACCCCATTTAAAGGGTGTATAGTTGGTCGCATTTCGGAGTAAACATGAAATTAGTAGGAGTCAAGGTTTCAACTTCACTGCAATCAGGTCAGTCCATACTTGCCCTGTTTCTATACCAATGAAAATCTGATGAAATGTCCCTCACCGTCCCATTTAAAAATAAAATAAAAATGGTGAGCATACAATTAGTCCCTGCACAATTCAGAAAGATGCGCACGCAGTAAATGCCAAAGCCAAGAGTCTCCATCAGAAATACAGTTTGCTGTTGATGGAAGTAGTCGGGCACGATAAGTACACACGTAGAATTACTACATAAGGTATTTCACCAGCTCACACATAAACCGGCTACCGGCCATATTGAATACCACGACTCAACCGCTGCTGCACAGATGAAAAGCATTCCACATGAACACCCCCCCCCCCCCCCCCCCCCTTTCCAAAAAAAAAACAAAAAAAAAACAACTTACAGGCACTAAACGCAGTAGCTCAAGTAGCGAAACCGCGGACTAACCTCCATATGTGGAAACTGCATTAGCAAAGCACTGTGTCAAAACCCACACACACACACACACAACAAAATAACAATAGAAGCTTAACATTACTCTTTTTATCTGTCAGGAGGGGGGTGAGTGGTCTCGGGGCATGGCGTCCGCCTCTAGTGATAGAGGTCCTGGGTTCAAGGATTTTTTTACACGTGAACTTCTAGTAATTTCCCCTGGTCTCTGGGTAGTAAGATCAGAACAGCTGTGTGTATTTTTGCGAACGTAAAAAATCCCTTGTCAGTTGGATTCGAAAAGAGAAGCCTAACGGCGATGCCTGGGCAAAATTTGAAGTTTAAAATCTACCCAAAGAATTTTTAGGATCCTCACCGGTGCTACGGAGTTCGTGCGTTGAAACTTTTCGGACTCAGGCTTGAGTTAGAAGTAGAAAGGAGCACTTATTGACTACTACCCTTGTGCCATGATGTTGATCTGTTGTTAAAACCCAAACCAATCTGTCCAGGGTATTCTCATCATTCTTCTATAAAACCACATAGCAGCTTGGAAATAATTTTTATCTAATCTACCTACACGCGCGCATAGATACACAGAAAAGTATAGCATCTTCCCTTTTCAATCTAAATAAACTGTTCTTCATAACGGGAAATAAATCGCTTGGAAGCAGGATAACTCAATATTGATACATTACTAAAGTAACAGAAAATGTATTGATCGACACTGATAGAAACTTATCACGTACATAGTCACAAGTATCAAGTGCGCAGCTACAGGAAGTGTTTCGTTGTCAAGTTTTTAATTTTCCGAGATTGACTTTCTGTATTTTGAGTAGCAGACGAGTTGGTGAACGTGTAGTTGTAGTTCCATGAGAAGTGGATTTTATTTTTGGAAATATGGAGCCCCGGGAGGCGGAAACGTAAGGGATTGTTATAACTCTATATCTGATTCATTTATTTCAAACATATTTTGATATAATATTATTGTCGTGTCGACGGAAATTAAAGACAATCTGATTTCATTGAGTTTTTCCACACCAAGCTAAAGTCAAAGTGTCTGTCTCGCAACAAAATTCAAAATATATGAAACGTTAATTAGACCGGTCGTGTTTTATGGCTCTGAAACTTGGAGCACAACTAAAAGAGATGAAACCTTATTACAGGTTTTCGAAAACAGTCTTTCGACGAGTCTTTGGACTCATCAAAGATGCAAACAGCGGGGAATGGAGAGTGAGAAGCAACAACGAAATTCATGATCTGTTTAAAACAGCACTGATCACTGGCATCATAAGAGCTAATAGACTGAAATGATTGGGACATATTGAAAGAATGTCAGATGGCAGAAGTAAAACCGGCTCTCCTTTAAATAACGGTCGCTAGCTGGAAAGCCGACGGTCGCTTAGTCGGAGTGCGCTCCCTTGGCTGCATTGCAAATACGGAGCGTAAAGAGGGAACGAAACAAATGACATACTTACCTGTCATGATACGGTTGCGTAGGGTGTAGGGTAGGGTGTGGGGTAGGGTTTGGGTTAGGGTTAGGTGTGACAATTTTGACGCAGGAGTTCCAAATACTGGCCGACAATCTGATGCTTGTGGGAGTGGCGCCACTGGAATTCTCCTAAATATGACGGCAATAGCGCGCGGCTGGTGCCCAATTGATGGCGAATTGTCCGTTTGAGTAGCATCCACAGTCCGTCAATTGTTTGAGTGTGTATGTCACTGTGCGCGATTATTTGGAACTTCTGCGTCAAACTTTCCACATCTAACCCCAACCTTAACCCTAACCCTACCCCTAACCTTAAACCTACCCCTAACCCTACCCTGACCACGCAAACTTATCGGTCATTAAGGCATACAGATCTGCAGGAGTCACATCCGTGGCAACTAAGTCGTGCGTTGCAAGAATATGGTCGCTAATGTGAGTCGGAGCTCAATGTCTAACTGCCATGTTGACCATGTTTTTGATTCATGACGTGTCCACTCCGTATTTGCAATGCAGCCAAGGGAGCGCACTCCGACTAAGCGACCGTCGGCTTTCCAGCTAGCGACCGTTATTTAAAGGAGAGCCGTAAAAACTGTATACATCAGGGAGATGAATGGTCGTACACCACGAGGCAGACCAAGAAGATGGTGGAGAGATAATATCCAGACAGTGACAGACCTGCAAACACTTGGTGTCACCAGCTAGAAATTAATCAAGTAACAGAAAGTGTATTCTTTGGCACTTATAGAAAGACGTAGAAAGATACAAGAACACTAGACAACATAAATATCGAAAGCTATGGTTACCGTGCTGGGAATTGAACCTGTCACCTCTAGATGGCGTGTGCGCCTTGCCATGGATATAGGTGCACTATGAACATGGTCAACTAGGTATCCCCTCCCAAAAAAGGATGTCTTATTGGCCATGTCTATCGAACAGCTTGAAATCCACAACTATGGAATATGGACAGAATTCATTACAAACCATTGAAATGGCACCATAGGTTACATACATTTATATTAACGAAGCATTTGTTGAATAACAATCACAGCAACAATTTACGAACACAGTAGACCCTAATGCTTTGTAAGAATACACAAACATTGAAGAAAGGTATTTAAATGGTAGATTCCGATGTGTATACGTCATTCCTATAAATAGAGGGGGACCTTTGAGGGCGTTAAATAATATTATAAATCAAATAACATAAAGCACTCATAGAAAGAAGTAGAAAGATAGAACACACTAGACAACATAAAAATCGAAAGCTTTATTTACCGTGCCGGGAATTGAGCCTGTTTCCTCCAGACTGCGTGTGTTTATTTATAGGAATAACGTATACACACCAACTAGAAAGAGACGGCCAACCAGAGGGATGAATGGAGATGGGTGATATCTGCAGTAATGAACCTCAAGGGCTCGGAATGCTGAAGAAGAAGAAGAAAAAGCGAAGGCTGTGATTCTTTGGTTTCTGATTGCATATTAGATTTGGTGATAGTGAGTGTTTTGTGTATCCCTCACGTTGAAATTAAAATTTTAAATTCATTTAGTAACAAGTAGATGGATTTATATTAAGGTCAATACACGTTCATGGTTAGCCGATTAACCGAAAAGTACCTCCAAAAAGATGCAAAAATTATTGACAGCCAGAGAGATAAACTATCATGAACACATTTTACAAATGAGAATCATCAGATTTTTAATGTTTACCCAATCCTATAGTGTGGCTCAGAAACTTGGACAATGACCAGGCAGCTAGGAAATCAAATTGAGTGGACATGTAGATATACTGAAGAATAGATAGTATTTCTTGGAAACAAAACACAAATGCAGAGGTTAGGGAGAGACTGCAGATGAAAAGAGACCCAAAAAAAAAGTCAATTGTGGACACATTATAAGATTTAACACTCTGTTTAAAACAGAGGGAAACATCGAAGGCAAGAGGTAGACAATGATACAAGTGAAGAGACAACATCAAGAGGTGGGCGAACAGCATTTAAGAGAATGAACCAGTGATGAAATTCCTTTTTCAAAGGCTTATAAATTGGAACCTTTATTGTGGAGATTGCACCTGATTGATTGATTGATTAAAAAATATTGAAGCATCACACATGCAGTGTTATAGACCAATGATGAGAATACTCGGGACAGATAAAAAATGTAATTAAGATGTCTTGAAAGAAACTTACTCATGAAGAGAACTGATTGCCTATATCAAAAGGAGACAATCTGCATTCTTTGGTCACATTCTGAGAAAGAAAACATTGTGATGGTGGAAAAGTTTCAGGGGCCCCACTGCCTACCCAAAAGCATGTCGTAAAAGTCGACTAATTGGGAGCTTCCTTCGAAGTCAGAGTGCATCTGCCTAAGAGGCAAGTGACCAACAGTCTGCACACAAATGAGTCAAATCTGTCAAACAGATGCACACCCAACACTCAGGTTCTGAAACAAGACTGCAGTCCAGAAGTGGACAAACAACCAGAATTTTCTGCCAAAGTTTACAGCCGGTGAACACGAAGAAGAGGAAGATTGAAAGTACAGGAGACAGAAAGCCATGGAGAGACATGACTATCAATACGAGGTGGATGAATTGCATGTGGGTTCATAGAAAAAGCGGACGTCGCTTAGTATAACAAATCTTGACATATGATATCACAACATCTAGGTTGAGAATGGAGGTGGAGGCAGTCAGTGCTGCCCTCCGCTGGTTTGAAAATCAGCTGTACACACATGCTGTGATTGTAACTGACTAACAGAACATGTTGAAAAAGGTAGGCACAAGCATGCTCCGTGCAGAGTGGCAAGCATCGCTTCAGAGTTCCCAGGTAGTTAGCGTCCTTTGAATATTTTTTCCAGTTATGAAGGTGTTTTGGGAAACAAGTAGGCAGATAGACTAGCCGGTTTTACACCTTTTAGTGGTGAATTGATGTATGACAACCTAGATGTTGTGAGGGCCCTTTTGTAGCAAGTGAACAGTGCAGAGGCACAAATAGATCATTACGCTCTGAGGAGAATGGTGTTGCAAGGAGTTACCAGGGGATCTGGCAAATGCTCAACACTCAGGGGAGAGGCGAGACAGATATACAGTCAGACAATTACTGGTGCTATTAAAATTGGAACTCTTCCTTGTTGCTGAAGATGGAGATGGAACGCTTATGGGAGTGTTTCTAGTGCTGTGTTGTTGATTCCTAATTCAACATTCAACAACATTAGACTTTGCATGGACTGTGTGATGAAGATATTAGGAAACCTGTACAATAAGAAAGCTACCCAAGAAACATCTGACATGTAGTTAGTTAAATTGTAGTGGTAATTTTCACAAAAATATCCTATTCAACCATCAGGGTTATAACTGTAACATAAAGTGTTAATTAACATTGCATAATATATTTTTTCTAGTTTTGTATATTCTATAAAAAAGTTAGTTATGTGCCCCCTTAACATGACCTTGCAGAACCTGACACAGCAGTTTTTGGCTTTTTGTGATTTCACTAAGCAATTTTAAATTTGATGGTTTGCCATTGCTTATTGAACGGTCAGCTTTTGATATCACTGCTAAATCTAACACAAAGTGGTCTGCTGCCCATTCAGCTGCAGCTGGGATCAAACCCGGCACCTCAGAATTATGAAACATGTGCCCAATTTCTAAGCCTCGGATGCTATATCTTTTAACTCTTCCAGTCCCAGTGGGTTTAGCATCAAAGGTCCTAGGGGTAGTAAAGTGAGACGGTAAATTGGCCTATCTTGCATTCATTGGGCTTCTCGTGGGAACAATTTAACCTATAATACGTTCTCTTAAACTGAAAGAGTTTATATGGCAAAATATTTCTCTTGTCTTTCTGTTTATTTCTTTGATAACCATCTTTTCATTCCCAATCTCACAGAAACTACATTTTTTTTTTGTTTCCGTGAAATACAATCTATTTAGTTTATCCATATTTTCAAAGTCTGTGTAAAACTTTATATGTCAGTGGCTACAGTGGCTGTAGAAGCAGATGTGTGTTAGTAAATTTCCCACTGCGAAGTTCTTCTATAAGATCAAGAACACAGATAGTGGAGAGTGAGTTGACTAGGGACGTTAAATAAAAAATCAATATGTTATCGCAAGCTTGAGTATTATTGCTACACTTTTGTTGTTTTGCAAGAGCTTAGCTTGGTTCAGAAAGCAACATATGACATTCAGGTTACTATAAATCTTTCAATAGTGAAGATTTTCAACTTCTTCTTGTTCTTCTTCTTCGATCCTTCTGTCAGAAAACTTATATCAGAACTCCAGTAGCCTTGGTCAAAGCTATCATGCAATCCATATCTTCTTGTCAGCCATACAGCTTTGTCTTCATTGAGGTTGGAACAGACCAGATTGCTTCTCTGTTAGCAGAGTACAGTTGGCAGTGCTGGAGTACATGCTCAGCAGTTTCAGATGCCAGGGACACACATTCTTCTTTACTACACTAAAAGACTTGAATGTGGTGTCATTTGATGATTATATTGTCTTTTCATCTATTCCTTTTTCCTCTTCAGAACATCGCCCTCAGCCAGCTATCTTTTTCCATTTTCTGCAGCTTTCCAATTCTTTACATATCATTCTACTATCTCTAATTTACTTTTATGTGTGGTTTCATGATTCTCTTTAATTCATTTGCCATGTGGATCCCAGTGAAAGAAAATTATAGATATACTCTTGTGATATCAAAAATAGAATTGACTGCAGTCAATCTGATATCAAGAAGCAACGTAAGACTGTACACACTGTGATAGAGCGTTTTTTTGTACAAGTCTTTCTTCTGGGCATTTACTGGCTGTAAACTCCGGTGGAAAGTTATGGTTATTTGTCCGCTTCTGGACTTGAGTCTTCTTCCAGAACTTGAGTTTTGCATTCACATCCGTTTTTTTCAAATCTGGATTATTTGTTTGCAGACTTTTGGTTCCTTGCCTCTCAGGTCATCATCAGTCTGTTCTCGTTATGCCTAGTGGCACATGAGGCTTCAGAGAGGACTTTCCATGCTTTCCTGTCCTGTGCAATCTTCAGTGCAGTTTTCCATGTCAAAGATGCCGCACTCAGGTCACTTTCCATCGTTCATCTCCATGTTGTTTTTGGGCGCCCCTATTTTCTCTTTCCCTCTGGTGTCCATGTGAGAGCTGTTTTGGCAGGTATATCAGAAGTCATTCTCATAACGTGGCCAAGCCATTTCCATCTTCTTTTGGTAATCATACTGTCTAAAGTTTCTTGGTTTGTGGCTTGAAGTAGTTTAGTGTTTTAAGATTGTATCTTTGCCTCTCAGGTACCAGGTACCAGCTTCAGAGAAACTCCCCTAATTATTTGGCTTCTACGACATTGTTGTTGGAGAAAAGGGGGGGTGGGGGGAATGTTCTGTTTTCATCCAGAAATGGAGTCCCAGAACTCACATGGGAATTCTAGTCATCTTTATCCTCATCCAGTGCTTTGCTGACTGGCATTGGTGATCATGCCTCTCCTCAATTTGCAGTCCACAACTGGGTGTATCACTTTGTATGTTGACACTTGTCCATACCATGACAAAAGGCTGTAAAGAATCTTCTCCCATTGTCTTCCTCTGTCTCTCTTTCCAAAAAATCTTTCTTATAGTCACAACATGTTCCATTTTGCCTCTTCTAGCTATACTATAGTGATATTAAAAATAAAAGTTACTGCGGTCAAGCTGATATCAAGAAGCAACTTCAAACACTACACACTGTGATAACAGTTTATAAAGACTGATCAGAATGTTGTTTTTGTGCGGGGCTACCTTTCCCTCTGTTGAGCAAACTAGTCATAATTTGTATTGTGTTCAGTTACTTATAGTTTTACTATTGTCTAGTTTTATTAATATGGTCCTATTCACTGCCATAATCTTTTCATAAATTTTTTCTAGCAGCTATTATGTCAGAGTTAATATCAGGATTTGAGGGCAGTTAGGCTTAGCTTTTCGAGGGGGCTTAGACATTTCAGAGGGCTTAGTCATTTGAGGGTTTGCCTCTGTTTCACAAGATATGTGGTTAGTTCCATGCTTAGAGCTTGGAACCTTTACAAAAACCTCTTGTTACAGTAGTATCATACTTCCCTACTACACTTACCTAGCCTTCCCAGATACAAAGTGAAATTAAGATTTCTTGAAAGAACCTAACTCACAAAGAGAAATGATTGCTTACATTAGAAGTGGACAATTCTTTAGACATAATATGAGAAAAAAAGTTTGTAAAGGAAATTCATTTGTCATGACTTTTGGAATTAATTTTTTTAAATAGAGTTCGAGGAGAAGAGAGACAGAGTGATTCCAAGAGACAACACACAGGACAGTTTGACATTGGGTCATTATGAAGACCTGTATAAGAAATGCTTGACAGTACAAAAGACCTGTCTATTGGCAGACATAGTTACTGACACTACTGGTGGTCGACTGTAGGAAGAACCTCTCACTGTCGTCATTATCAGTGGAAATGCTCACTTTTATTGTCTTTCATTTTACTGAGCTACACAACTACATTTTTTATTATTTATTTTTTTCATATCAGCTTTTCACAGTCACATTGATACCATTCTGATCTTGAACAATGTCAGTCTTTTGTCTTTTTCTTCATTCATAGGTTCCTAAGATTTTTATTTCTCTTACAGTCTAACTGAGCAAACTAGTTTTCCTTTAGTGACTGTGCAGTGGTGTGTGAATGATGTCTGTATGTTGCCACAGGAAGAGCCATGTTCTTAACTATATATAATAGTTATTGAAGTATCCTGAGTAATCAGAGTTGAATTTTTACTATAGTTTAATATCAATGTTCCATTATGTGTAGATATAAGTAACAACTGGTATCATTCACAGGTCTGTGCAGATGTGAATAACAAATGTTATCATTCTCAGATCTTTGTAGATGTGATTAACAAATGTTATCATTCACATATCTGTGCAGATATGACTAACAAATATTATCATTCTCAGGTCTGTGCAGATGCGTCTCTACTCACTCAACAAAAGGCAGTTTGTGTTGGTGTTTGTGACATTCTTTGTCTGCTTTCTGGTCTGCGTACTTGTGGGCATTGCAGGTATAATTTATTTTTGTCAATTCACTATGTGTATTGTTATTACTGCATTGCTTATGGAAGTGCAAATGCCTTTAAAAATTGCCCTGTTGTCTGTGTTCTAATTATGTTTTAATCAGGAAACTAAAGTATTATTAATTAAAATATATAAAATCTAGGTATGTGTGTTTTTGAGTGCGTGCATGCATTCATGTCTTTGGATTGTGACTTGTGATACAGACTTTATGCACTCTGCTGAAATTGTCCCTACCTGGTCCAGAAGGGTCCTTGAATGGCCCAGATCTATAGAGATATTGGGCAAAAGCTCCATTGATAATACAGAATGAAGCCATGCAAGTAATTCTGGAATGTACAAGAGATACACCAGTAGTATGTGTGTGATATATACTTGAACTGCTGAATATTGCAGTTTGGCTAAAATTCCTGCAAGTGAGGTCCTACCTCAGAGTATAAGCAGACAAGAAACACCTCTTGCATAAAGCTCTAGATATAGCTAAGAGCCACAGACTAAAAAAAAATAGCAAAGTCTTGGATTGCACAGGCAGAAGACACAATTATGTCTGTGTGCATGCTTGAAAATATTAGGTGATGAGATGAGTGAATCAAAGTGGCTGAGCAACAAGCATACCTTTGTAGGGTTATAATCACACTGAGTCGGGAGTGCAGGGACTGGCCAGCAGGTGCTGAGGAATCAGAAATTAAACAACTGGTTCATGACCATTCTCACCCAGGTGATGTGTTTATCTATACCGATGGCTCTGTGTTGACAGGCAGAAGAAGTGCATGGGGGTTCTTAGCAGAAGCTAATGAATGACCCTTAGCGAAACAAAGCCTGCCATATGATATCACAACATCTAGTTTGAGAATGGAGGTAGAGGCAGTTGCTGCAGCCTTCTATTGGCTTGAGAATCAGCTACATTGTTGTGATTGTAACTGAGTCACAAAACATGCTGAGAAAGGTGGGGACAGGTATGCTTCATTCAGATTGACTCACATCGCTTCAGAAGTAAGGGTAGTTAGCATCCTTTGGATATTTTCTTCAGGGCATGCAGGTGTGTTAACAAACAGAGGGACAGACTTGCTGCCTCTGCATCACTTGGTAGTAAACTTTTTCACAACAAGCTAGACGTGGTCAAGTCTTTTTGGCAGGTAATGAACAGTGCCGAGGGGCACTTAGATTATCATGTTGTGAAAAGAATGGTTTAACAGGCAGTGACAAGGGGATCTGGCTGACACTCCACATTAAGAGGAAAGGCAAGGTGCACTAACAATCACACTGTTATTGGTACCATTAGAGTTGGAACACTTTGCTGGCTGCTGAAGATGGGGACAGATCACTTATGGGAATGTCCTGAGTGCTAGGTGTCGGTTCTTACAACTCAACTCAACAAAATTGTTTTCCGTTGTGACTGCATGTCAGTCCACCAGGTGACTCAGAGGGATCCACGAGACAACAAGGAGAGAGAACTGACCCCCGCCTGCTAAACAGACTCTCAGAAAACAATCAAATTGTTCTCCAGTGGATCCCAGCTCATTGTGTCATATCAGGAAATGAGTTAGCAGACTTGCAAAAAAAAAAAAAAGGAACAAAGGAGAAACAACACACCCATCCATTGTCATTAACAGAAATCAGAACACTTATCAAGGGAAAATACAAGGTATTGTGGAGAGATCAAACTAACTGCAAACACCCACAAGACTCCATCAGCAGACTCAACAGAAAGCAACATACAACAATTATCCGTCTACGAACAGGACACTGCAGGCACAACTACCACATGCATAAAATAAAGATTGTACAGTCCCCACAGTGTTTCTGTCAAACAGGACCACAAACACCTGCAGACCTGCCCACTCTACCTACCACTTCGAAAAGACACCTGGCCTCAAGGGCAAAGTGTGCAGAGCAAGCATTGGGGAACTATGAAGGACCTGCTGCTGACATGCGAGCTCATAGAGGTAACCCACCTGATGGTCTGATCTGAGTATAATAAACCAATCACACGGAAGAAGAAGAATAATAAAACTCAGCTCAATTCTCAGTGATGTCTTTGTTTAACCATTATTGCTTGTTTATTTTTCTGCTGTTTATTACAGTATAAATTGATGTTTCCCACCAGGTCCACATATAATAGATTCAGATACCCTGAATGGAACTTTGAGTTACAAAGAACCTCATAATAAACAGGTCTGTATTGTGGTATATTTTATTTAGCTAGCATTGACATATCATTTCAGAATGTATTTATATACACTGCTTCTCATTTCTAGCTATCTAAATAACAAATTTGTATATTATTGATGATTATTGGTTTGCAGATGGGACTACGTAGTCTGTTCCTTTCTTCCTGTACATTTGACCCTGAAAGGGTGGTTGGCATATTGTGATGTAGGTTTGTCTGTGATATCTGATTTAAACAGACTCCTATTAGTCACCTGGTTAGAGTACATGTGTGTGTGTGTCTGGGCGTGGATGAGCGTATGGTGTGCTTATGTATGTATGAGTGCATTAAGGGGATTGTGCACGTGTGTATGAGTTTAAGAACATGCATAAATATGGGTACATGTATGTGTCTGTATGAGCATGAGTGCATGTTTGAATTCATATGAGGATGTATATATGAGTGATTATTTATGGATGTGCTGGTGTCTGTATGTGCATATAACAGTGTATGTGTATAATTGGAGCATGTATAATTGTGTATGCAAGATGCTTGTATGCATTTTTTCATTATGTATATTTTTTTATGAACATAATATGCGTTGTTGATAACATGCAATTGTGGCCTGAAAGATAAGTGCTTGGAAGGGTCGAATGTAAGGCGGGCCTGCGTGCCCAGTTTGTAACCCCATGAAAATAAAGTTTATTCCCCTTTCACAACCTGCTTATTTAGAGCAGTGGCTCTCTCCCCACCCCCCACACCTCCCCTCCCCACAGAGGGCCTCGGATGTCAACATAGTCACATGGTCTGTAACTCCTCAGTCTCCCTCAGCACATTGTATTTCAGTTCTAGGCATCTCACTATAGATTTATTAATCTTGACCTTTGGGTGTGTATGAGCAGGCTGATAGCTTAGCTGTTGCTACTCATCTGAGCTGTGAGCTATTTTGTGTTAGAGCAGACCTGGTGAAGACTCTCTGGGATCAAATGAACAGTGCAAGGAAATCGACAGCATCTGTATCTGGAAAGACTGATTCAGCTGGCAGGTAGCAGATTTTCTGCCCTCATTGGAAAAGATAGGTGGACTTTTAATCAGGTTGCTTCCTGTGTGGGTTCCAGAGTACCCTATCACAGGGAAAACAAGAATAGACCCACTGTCTACCCAAAAGAATGTCGTAAGAGTCGACTAATTGGGAGCTTCTTTCAAAGTCTGAGTGCCTCTACCTGAGAGGCAAGGAACCAGCAGTCTGCATACAAATGAGTCAGATCTGTAAAACGGATGCAAACGCAACACTCAGGTTCTGGAACAGGACTGCAGTCCAGAAGTAGATGAACAACCAGAACTTTCTGCCAGAGTTTAAAGCTTGTGAACGCGAAGAAAAAGAAGAATCAGGTTGTAACTGGCATTTCATATATGGGAACCTCAGCTACTGAAGAGGAGACAAATCACATAAGGAAATGTTCTGAGTGCAATGATGTTGATTCTTGAATATACTTTCCTAGTTTCCCATGGTTCAGTCTTGTATTATATTAATCTGTCGTCAAGGTGTTCTTCTTAATTCACTCTATCTCATGTGTATTATTCTTCTTCTTCTTCTTTCGTTCGCATGAAATAAATTGTCTATATCTGCAAAGCTGTCTCTAGTATGAATTTCACTGTCTTTTGTAATTCACTAAGCGGCCCGTAAAGTTTGACTTCCACAAGTGTCTCTTTTGGCCAAAGGTTTTGCCTGAAAGCGTTGAATCTGGGACAGTCTTGAAGGATGTGATCTGTTGTTTCAGGTGCCAGTCCACAAGTACACATGGCTGATTGGCCAATCTTAAATTTGTTGTACATGTGGGAGCGAAGTCGATTGTGCCCTGTTCTAAGGCGAAGGATAATGACTTGCTTTGGTCTGTCCATAATATGGTAATCATCTTGTGCCAGTTTCGGTGGCATTCTGATTGATTTGATCATTCTCTTCTTCTGTTGATAAGAGACTGGTATGTTAGGTTGTTCTTCAGTTGCACCTTCCTTAGCTAGTTTATCAGCTTTTTTGTTTCCGGGAACTCCACAGTGGGAAGGTATCCACTGCATTACTAATTTACAGCGGTTGCCTAGTTCGGATAATAGTGTCCGTATGCTTGGTAATTTTCCAGACTGGAGTGACTGAAGTACTGCTTTTGCATCTGTCAGGAATACCACTGGTTGTGAAAAATACCCTGTATTTAGAAGTTTCTCTGCCGCTATCTTGATGGCTTGAACTTCTGCATCATAGTTGTGACAGTGCTTTCCCGTTGGTAATTTGGCTGTATCCCTGGTATTATTACGTTACTCAATGTACACTCCCGCACCTCCGTTTCTGACTGCGCTTTCTGCTGACCCATCTGTGTAAACACGGACCCAAAGGTTCTGCGGGTATTCATCATCAAGTTGACTGAGGGTGGCTGTTTTGCGCTGCACACTGTTTTGTTCTTCCTTGTCAAATACCCCTTTCACTTCAGTCTTGATGTGTATTGGAAACTTATACTCCTCTCTCCAGGGGGTCCGTTCTGAGACAGCATTTAAGGATCTATCAGTTGCAGGTAAATCAGTTATTTGTCTGCCGAGCCGTTTGGCCTGGTGGATAAAACTACTTCTCTTTAGTCGTCCCAAAGCTAAATTTTGGAATCTTTCATTTATAGGGTGACTGGGCATACTAAGAAACTTTCTGCTTGTAAAAGCATCTTGGTGTCTCTGCGTTCACTCATGCTTGGGTCATCCCCATTTTCTCCATCACAGCTATAGGTGTTGATTTTTCATACTGCCTGTGGTAACTCTGAGTGCTTGATTTTGCACTTTGTCTAATTCTTGCAATGTGGTTTTTGATGCCGAACTCCATGCTGTTGATCCGTATTCAAGATGTGGTCGAACACTTTGTTGGTAAACTTTTCTAAGTATTTTCCCGCTAGCACCCCATGTGGTTCCACTTAGTTTTCTCAGAATGGCTACCCTCCTTCTGGCTTTGGTTGCTGCCTTGTTGATGTGTTTTCTCCATGTTAATCTAATGTGTATTATGTTAGCTGTATCCATTCTGGGGTCCCATTTTGGGGGAACAAGAATCGACCCACTGCCCCCCCCCCCCCCCCCCCCCCCCCCCAACAAGCATGTTGTAAAAGTCGACTAATTAGAGGTGTTTAATTCAAAGTCAGAGTGCATCTGCTTGAGAGGCGAGGAGTCAACAGTCTGCTTACATATAAGCCAGATCTGAGGTGCACGCAAAAGTTAACTTCTAGGACAAGACTAAAGTCCAGAAGTGAACGAGCAGCTAGAATTTTCCCCTGGATTTTACAGCCAGTAAATAAGAATAAGTAGGATTTATGTATTTTGTTAACTTGTTTGTTACTCTCCAGTACTAGAGCATTGGGATAGAGAAGGCTGAAGTTAAAAGAGCCTGGACTTAAAGAGTTGAAGTGAAAAATGGATGTTAACTATTCATGTTTTTCACTTTATTTGTAAATCATTCTCTCCCCCCCCCCCCCCCCCCCCCCCCCAAAAAAAAAGCATCTGTTAGCAGAGTTATATTCAACTTGAACTAGTAAAATGCAGTCTCCCATTTAGATGTTTTAGGTAATTTGTAAATTAAAAAAAAACACCCAACTAATTATAACAAAACAAATGACTCTCTCAGTCATGTAAGATCATAGCTGACATACAGATCAGTCAGTAATTTTGATAAGAAAATCATAGATATTCTACATCTAAAGGGACCAATACATTGTAGGAAATACATGTTGTAAACTCATGTAAATGTGTGTAAATGTCAGATGTATAAACATACATAAACATGTTGACTGTTACACATGCATAGTATTCAACCACACATGGCACAGTGTGGTGCTTAAAATAAATAATATTTATCTATTTTATAAAGGTAAAAACAAATATTTATATAGCATTGGTTGACTTTAAGTGCTTCCACAACCCATTCATAGTCACTATCTTCAGTACATGACTGCATAATTTTGTATTAATGTCTGACATCGTCATCGTCCTATTGCTCTGTTGTATGTCACATAGGGCTCAAATTTATTCTTCTATTACTTACATTCTATTCTGTACAGTTGTTTTTTTTTTTGCACTTTTCCGTAGCATATTGTTTTTTACTGGGTGGGGGAGCTGACCCCATGCTCAACCCTCCTCCTTTCTCTTCCAGGCTTGGGACCAGCAACACCAGAGATATTAATTGCTGTGCTACCTAAAATTATTTTACTTACTGTATGCTTTATAAGTATATAAAGTTAGTTACGTATCCTTTACAGGACATTTCAGAACAAACCCCAGCATTTTGTGGCTGTTGTGGTTTATCTTGAACAAATTTTTATGTTCAGTAGTTTGCCTCAGCTCTCCGTACCACTGTTGAAACCAACTTAGGGCGTTCTGCTTCCAATTCGCCTGCAGCTGGGATCAAAGCCAACACCCCGGCATTACGAAATGCGTTTGCAGCGTCTAAGCCATAGACGCCGGCATACGTACATACATACCCTTGAAAATATATTAGTAAATATTATTATCTTGTCTTATAGACTGGTCCGTTTATCCTGAGGTCACCCCCAATGTCAACATTTCACCAGCAACTATGGCTTACTGCTCGGGTCAGCATTTCCAACAGTAGAGGTGAGCGTAGAAGTTTATTATTTTATGTTGTAATCGGGTCTACGTGGTGAAGGGATTAAATCACTTGTTTAGCGCTCTAACATGTCAGGAAATTTTGATTCAGTTCACGAGTGAAATACAACTTTTACAGAGATCTTTAGGGATCATGCTGGAGCTACAGTGTTCATGCTTGTGTGACGCTCTTGGCAGGCAGCTAGCCATTCTCAGGAAAGACCGAGTTTTATGCGATAATCCAGTGCAGTAAAGAGGGTCCTCTCGATTTTAGCAGTTAGTTTTTGGTGAGCTCTGCAGGCTTGTGTGTGTTTATGTTTATCAGAAATATTCTTTTTAGAAAGATGTAATTGAGGATCATCGCATCAGATCTATAAAGAATCCAAGCTACCACCTGAATCATACTTACCAGGTGTGGATTTTCTGCCTATTCTGCTGCACTATCCACTTGCTCCTTGAAAGGGAAATGTTACGAAGCACAGCTTAGACAGGATATTGGTCAGTCAAAATATTTATTGTCTCGCTCACTGGCAGTAAACTCCAGCAGAAAGTTCTGGTTGTTCGCCCACTTCTGGACTTTAGTCTTGTTCCAATACTTGAGTTTTGCATGCACATCTGCTTTACAGATGTGGCTTATTTATATGCAGACTGTTGATTCCTCACCTCTCAGGCAGATGCACTACAACTGTGAAGGAAACACCCCTACAGGTTTTTGTGTGTGTACATGTTTGTTAGGGGTGCAGCAGGTCTTTTCTTGTTTATCCCCACAATGGTACCCCAGCACACACCCAGAGAAATCAAAATCAGGTGTGTCATTTACTTATTAAAATAACTCCTTCAGCTTCATGCAGCTTACTGCATGTTCACTGATGTGTTTGGTATTTGATTTAAAAACATCCCTTTGGGACCACGTTAGCAATGCAGAGGCAAAAATAGATTGTCACGGTCTGAAGAGAATAGTGCAGTGAGGGGTGACCAGGGGATCTGGCTGATGCTTAGCACTCGGGAGGAGCCAGACAGACATACAATCAAACTGTTACTGGTACCATCAGAATTGGAACTCTGTGAGGAACGGAGTGCTTATGACGATGTCTTGAGCTCCGTGGTGTCAGTTATTTAACTTTTAACTTTATGTTTGGTACAGTAAAATTAAATTAAAAGACCTGTTTGCTGTCATTGGCACAGCAGGCACATGGTGTTAAACTGGTTGGAGGTTGTTGACATATTGTTGTATACTCAGTGATTCAATGAGTATGATCCGGAGGGTTCAGGCAGGTTCAGTGCGAAGACAATGGCTTGAATCATTACAGAAGTCCACTGTGCGTGGAGTCACCTTTATTTTTGTTCCGGGACACGCAGGCGTCGATGGAAATGAAAGAGCTGACAGGTTGGCTGGATCCGCTATCACTACCGACGGTCAGCCTATGGATCATGCTGATATTATCAATGCCCTCAGAGAAATGGGAAGGATAGAGGACTTTGGTGGCAGTGAATCCACATCACTCGCCAGAATGGCAGACTTGGGAATTAAGATCGGTACAGCAAAAAGCGAGACGCACACCAGACACTCAGAAGACTTGTTAATCAACATAGAACTGGTACTATTAGCCATCGGACATTGGGGTTCATACTGAGGGGAGGATCTGAGCACCTATGGACATGTCCGGAGTGCAATGAGGATAACCCAACTAACTAACTAACTAACTAACTAACTAACAAGGCTCATCTATCCTTGGTATTTTAACTTTGTCTATCCCATGTTTGTTTTATTTTTGTACATTACATCTGAAAGATTGTTACTCATAAGTATGAAAATGGTAGGATAGAATGTGATGAAGTAACAACAGCCTGTGACAGTGTTAAGAGTTAATCATGAACTACAAAATTTGTTCAAATTTTCCAAATGTATTTATGAATATGTCGGCGTCTGTGGCTTAGGTGTTGCGAATGCACTTCGTAATGCCGGGGTGCCGAGTTCGATCCCAGCTGCGGTCCTTGCCTTGGTTTCGACAGTGGTATCAAGAAGCCACCTGTCTAGAAAGCAATGGCAAACTACTGGACGTAAATTAGCCTTAAAAAACCACAACAGCCAAACAATGCTGGGGTTGATTCTGCAAAGTGTAAAAGGATACGCAACAAATTTTTTTTTGTTGTTGTGATTCATGAATTTAATATATGAGTATCTTGACCTGCTGTGGTGAAGCAGGGTTTTTGTTTTTTTTGTTGTTGAAATTTGCCTCTCCAGGATTGTAGGCTGTAGGATTACCATCTGGCAGATGAGAATCAAACAAGTGCAATTCCTGGAAACTCTGTTCAACCCTATAGTCATAAAGCAGTTTTATTGAGGTACCACAGAATGGTTATGGGAGGTCTCTGTGGCGAAGTGGTCAGGCCGTTTGCCTCACACTCTGAAGGTTATAGGCTCAGTTCACGGTGGCGCCGTTCAGTTCAGAGTGCAGTTTTATTCATAGAGATTCCTGGGGATTCTCACCTGAGCTACATAGGTCATGCTCTGTGCAACAGAGAGAGACTGAGCCATATGGGATAAAACTCACTGTACTGAAGTCGATCCTCTCAACTTTACCTATACAAAATGGTTACTAAGGAAACTAGTTCAGTGTGGGTGGGGTTCGTGTAGGTCACTTGCAGAATGTTCTTTTTATCATGGCATGCCATGATGTCACTCAGTCCCCTGTTAACTTTCCTGCCTCGTAAATCTTTATAACCATCATGTCCTTAATGTCTAGTGTCAACCGTCATGCTGATCGACCTCTGCCTCTTCCTCCAGGAACTATGCCCTCCTTTACTGTTCTCTCCAACTCTTTCAATCCTGGGGGTTCTCGAGAGCCGGCCGTCCAGCAATAGCAAACTACTGGACATGACTTTGCCTAGAAAACCACAACAGCCAAAAAATGCTGGGGTTGGTTCTGCAACATCCTGTACAAGACACACAGCTAACTTTTAACCCCTTGATCTAAAGATTCTAAAGAATTTCAGTTTAAAAAAAAATTTACCATTCACTACCAGAATAATTTGTTTTTTAAACATGCTTTATATTTTCTTAAAACCATTTACAGGTTCCAGATTTGAGCAAGAATTTAAGATGGGCATAATGATACGAGGAGCAAATGGTGATACCCAAGGTTTAGAGGAATCCACAACAAACCCAAGTCTTAGTACAGAAATGCATAACAGGACACGAAGACTGAAGTGCACTGGGGTAAATTTGCACAGTACTGCATTGTTTTGAAACACAGAGATACTGTGTGAGTGTGTGGCTGCAAGCAACAAAACATCTGTCTTGTGGAAGATTTTACTAACACTGGCGTCCAGACTTCCTCTTAGCAGCCCTAGCAGCCACTCTGTTAGAGTTTTACTTCCTCTTAGCAGCCCTAGCAGCCACTCTGTTAGAGTTTTACTACTTTTTACATTCTCTGTGGAATATAGAAACTTTTTTCTTTATTTTCTTAACTGTAGTATTGTGTGTATTATGTGCTCATGTTGCTTATTGAACTTTAATTTGTATTCTTTATCTACATTTATTTTTTTTCTGTCAGCGCAACTTGATTCACGAGCACCATTCTTCTTCTTTTTCTTTAGCGTTCTGAGCCCTTGAGGTTTAATGCTGCAGGTATCACCCACCTCCACTCATCTCTCTGGACGGCCTCCTTCTCTTTCCAGTTGGTGACACCAAGTGTTTGTAGGACTGTCTGGACATTATCTCTCCATCGTCTTCTTGGTCGGCCTCGTCTGCGACCATTCAGCTCCCTTGTGTATACAGTTTTTTTACCTCTCTGTCATCAGACATTTTATCAATATGCCTTGGCCGTTTCAGCCTAGTAGCTCTCATGATCCCAATGATTTAAGCAGATTATGAATTCCGTTGTTACTTCTTACTCTCCATTCCCCGCTGTTTGCATCTTTGATAGATCCAAAGATTTGTCATAACACTCAAAAATGTGTAAAATGTTTTTAAAAATGTGTAATATGGCTTTATCTCTTTTAGTTGTGCTCCAAGTTTCAGAGCCATATAAAAGCTCATTTTCTCCAACGATATCAATTTAGTCTGCATAATTGAGTATTCTTGTAGTTTCTCTTAGAGTAAGTACACTCTTGTTTCAATTTCCTTATAATTTTCTCCAGGGCCAATTTGAAAAGAAGTGGGGACTGAGCATCACCTCGCTTTAAACCAGGTGTTATTTGAAAAGGATCTGACTTTCTGCCTTGATATGTTACTGTATTATAAGTGTCTTCCATACATATTTTGGTCATGGTGATTAACTTCTTTGGTATTCCAAAGTCCTTCCATAGCATTCTGTTTCTATGTACTATCATATACTTTTTATTTTCATGTTCTCCTGCATTTACGTTCATTCTATTTCTCTATGTGTGCATTTTAAAACAAAGTTTATATCTATAGCGGTGGTGTTTCATGTTTTCATTTTATAGATCACTCCTGGCTTCCTTATTTTTTGGTAACAGTGTTTTGACTATTTTATTGTAACTTTTAGTAAACTATTAGGTGCGAAAAAACACACCAGTATATCATAATTTTCAGTTTATAAGAAACCCCATATTTTTTAGCCCAGAGTAGAAAAATAAATATTTTGCACACATTCTGTGTAAAAGGACATATTGGCCAACATATCGTCTTATACACAGAAAGAAGACAATAAAATGATGTATAACATCAGAGGAACTGGAAACAAAACATGCATGAGTGCATTTGAAAACACAAGATAGAAGTTGTGGGAGACTCATTACAGCTAACCTTCAGCGTGGAGATTCTCCATGCTGGTTTGGAGGCCTCACTTTTGGGGGAACAAAATAGGTTCACTGCTCCATAAAAAGTATGCCGTAAAAAGTGGCTAATTAAGGCTTTACTGAAATCAAATATGTTGAAGGGTGCAGACATCACAGCCTAGCTGTAAACCACACATCAACATGCAAATCACCCTGATAAGTAATTATATAGTAGAAAAAGTGGGGAGAAGGCTCAATGATAATATTAGCTGCTTGTGTATTTTTGTAATGTTTTTTTTTTTTTGATTTGCATCCTTTTACATGATTTTCAGTACATTTTACTCTACTGTAAAATAGCTGTTTATTGCTTTGCCACTTTATCTAGAATCTCTGTGCACATACTCTGATTAACTCTTTCGCTATTGGAAGGTGTCACTAGAGTTGCCTAAGAAAGAAAACAATTCTTCCTGCATTACATTTAAAGTGGCAACATACGCAGTGATAATTGCAAGTGGGGAAGCCAGATTTCTTTAGTATCTTGTGACTGAATGTTGTAATTAAGAAAATGCAGTATGCTGTGGAGTGCACTCAGTGGATAGAGTCACCCACACACCATGTGTTGCTTGGGATCAAAAGAGTTAAATTGCCCATACTAGAGGATTGATGTCAGTAATATTTGTCATATTCAGACTGAATCTGTTCTATTTAGATCCCTCCCCCCCCCCCCTCCCCGGGTATATATTATTTCAAAAAATTTAGTTATTTTTTTTAAGCAGTATGTTTCTTTCTTTCTTGAATATCTACCAAAAACTACATCGGCTGTGCGCTCGGAATGGATAAGACCAGACTTCCTAGTCAAGCCCTCAAATGGACACCAGACGGAATAAGAAAACGGAGAACACAAAAAGAGACCTTACGTAGAACCATCATCAAAAAAGGCTCAACCATGGGCCTAATGAACATCCAAGACCTAAAACAGGTGGCCACGAACCTCCAGCCATGGAGAGCTATGACCTGTGCCCTAGGCTCAAGAGGAAAGACTAACTAACTGATTCATTTGTAAGATCAAATAGATCATGGCCTCTTATTACTCTGAATCTTTGTCTGTGTGTTTGCAGGAAAATTGTGATGAGCTGATAGTGATGCACCTGGGATTTTTAGACTATGCTTATTACTACATCACAGTGGCATTCCATGACTTGGATAGTGAGAAGCTGGAGATAAAGGATGTCATGTTTACGGTAATCAGTTTGTATTTAATTCAAACTGACCTAAATTTCAGAGATGACACCTTAAGATGAAAATTATGAAATTATCATCACACAGTTATGACTTTCCTAGGAACTAAATATACACACAATGTATATATGTTCAGATGTTTTGCCAGATTCTTTTTTTAGTATTTTGTGAAAAGGGCAAGAAGTTGAAACTATATTACGGATGTTATGTTATCACAGTCGACATTAGTGCACATTGAGCATTTCCTATGTGTGCTCAGTGCTTTGGTGTAGTAGCCACTGTGCTGATTGTTGCCATGAGGAGCTGGTTATAATGTCTCCTCTCTTGGCCTCAAAGGAGGCATAGACATGCTTCACCATTCTTTACTCCCAAGTCACTGGCAGTTTCTGCATCACTTGGTGGTGAGTTGACGTCTGACAAGATAGATATTCTGAGGGCCCTTTGAGAGCGAGTGGACAGTGCAGACGCACAAATAGATCATTATGGTCTGAGGAGAATGGCCCTGTAGAGAGTTACCAGGTGATCTGGCCAACACTCAAAGGAAGGACCAGGCGTATATAAAATCAGACAGTTACTGGTACCATCGGAATTGGAACTTTTCACTTGTTGCTGAAAATTGGGACAGAGCGCTTATGGGGGTGTCCCGAGTGCTGTGATGTCAATTCTTAGTTCAACTTTCAACATTGTACTCCCATATCACACAATCGTGTTAGTGTCAAAGACTCATCAGTATCAACTAACCTAGTCCGTACAAAATTGATGATATCTGCTGTGAACATGATTTTCCCCCACATGCATTGGTGCATTGCTTGCTAGTTTGTCTGCTCATTCATTACCTTTCATGCGAGACTGGCCAAGTGTATCGATCCAGGTGAGGGAGGTTAACTTGATTTCCAGACGCTTTCTAAGCATTCATAGCATATACTACTTGTTGCGATTTTGTGAAGCACGTTTGTGGAGTATGATATGATTAAGGATATTATTAATGATTATTCTGACTAGGATTCAAACCTACCACCTTTAAATGGAGGCTATAGAACTAATGCTTCAAAAACTGGTATAGCTAGTATTGGGGTCAGAGTACACTTTTACCTATAGTGACAAGCTGTTACTCTCTGGACGCGACAGATTCAAATCCTAGTATGGTCACTATGACTTATTTTTTTTAAATGTTGTCTAATGCTTGCTCTCATCTCTGTTTCCTTCTTCTACTTTTGTGGGTGCCAGTCAGTATTCAGAGTTATAATAATGTGGACATATTTTGCTGTATCTCGTCAGATTTGTTACTACAGAGTTACATCAACATAAAATTAAGCACACAAAAACTGAATAAGTCCAAGTGAAATGTAGTCTCTTTCAAAGCATCCTGGTTTGTCTAATCATCGGAAGTTTACCATAGTCACGTGACTTACCAGGGTAACTTCAAATTTACCACAAATTCTGCTTTTAAAGGAGGGGGTTTTGATTTTAATTGTTAAAGTCTAATCCATTATCAGCAGAGAAACGAAAACATGGAAACTTGAGAATTCTTTGTTACGCTGTTAATTGGCCTCTGGAGTTTCTCGGAATTCGATATTTCTTAAATATATGGATTAAGTATAGTTATACAGCAAGAGCTTTATGTTGCAATTTATGCTTCTGACATAAAATTTAAATCTTCTTCTTTTTCTCATAGTCCATGCCAAGTGGTGTTGGTAGTCATGTCTATCCACACAGGTTTTGTCTATTGTACTTTTGGTTGGTTCCCAAACAGATTGTCTTCCATATCGTTATGTCAGACTGTCGAGCATCTTCTTTCTTGGTCTTCCACCATCATGATGCACTCCAGTTTTCACCTTCTCATTACATTAAAAAAAATTAGTAAATTGTCTCCTTCTAATATCAGCAGTTTCTTTTAAGACATTGCAATCACAGCAGAAAATAGATTGTATATTAAATTAATGATTGCAGCTTATATTGCCTTTCATGAAGTTCACCATTTCTGTTGTGGTCTTCAAATCTAGTATTACCTTAACATTAATCTTTTGTCACTGCTTTTCTGCATTAATGCATTTCTGATGATGTTTTGAAAATTGTTTCCAATTAGTTCAAGAGCTACAACCCATCATTCACCCAGATTGAGATTTGGATTCGCTTTGTCTTTCTTGTGCTGACATTCTTGACAACTGTGAGTATTTGTGGTTCAGAAGAAATCTAAATCTTGTTTTTCCCAGCTCATATTAATTCTTTCACTCCAGTTACCTAGACAAAAAAGAGTATAACCAATATTTCAGAAATACGTCCCCCCCCCCCCCCCCCCCCCCAAGAAAATCCTTTAAAAATAAAATATTTTACACAGGTCACCCAGAAAGAAAAAATATTTACAGTTGCGTTTATACACCAAAACCCGAGATGGCTAACCGGGTCAACAGTAGCCCACAGAAATCATATGTGTGGGCTAAATGGCGCAGATGTTGCAGCCATGCTGTAAATGGGCCTAACAGTGTTAACATTTTTGGATGAATGCAGAAGAGGATGTACCTAAACAGTATTAACTTCTGGACAGAATAAGAGAAGTAAACAGTAAACACAGATGCAGTCGAGAATTAACTGGGTTACATCTGTCTGAGTTTTAAATGTATATCATGACTAATTCTTGACAATTAGACCCAGTCGCCAGGTTACCACTGTGATTAATGGGAAATTCTGATTTCATAATTACTTTTTGTTTGTTTGTTTGTTGTTGTAATTAGCCTTTTTTTGCACAAGAAAACCCCACTAAGATGTTATTTTTGGCAAATACAATCATTCCTGATGCTCATGAATGTTTGCGCAGGTGCAGAAATATACAAATGCTGTTAGCTAGGCTTCTCGTGACAAAGCCAACCCTTTGGGAACAAGCAACGGAATCAGTAGAGAAACAAGATTATTATGGCGTGGAGAGAATGAGGCACCTGGGTTTTACCAGAGGGTCTGGCCGGCTCACTACACTTAGAGGAAAGGCAAGACGGACATATAACCAGATTATTACAGGTACTGTGCTGGCTGCTAAAGATAAGGACGGAGCACACATGAGAATTCCCCCGAGTGCTGCTGTGATGTAAATTCTTGACTCAACTCGTGGCAAAGCCACTATAACTGTGTCAGTAAAGCAGCATTTAGGAGAAAGTTAGGGCATGGCAGAAATTGCTCGCACAAGCATTAACTGCATAAAGCAGCAACCAGAGATAGCAACACCTACAGTCACTAGAATTGCTATTCATAGTGTATGGTAGTAATAGTCCTGACAAACCAGCAGATGCACATGCATTACTGCATAAGGCACACCATCAATCCTGTGGCAAGCAGCCACTCACCATTTTCTGAATATGCAGTATATACACATATATCTTTGAGAGCACAGACAATAAGCAGCATATATCCTGATTTGTTGTTTGTCTGTTAATAAAAGTGTGTTAATATTTACTGATTCTATCAGAATTGATGTAGACATTTTATTTTGCAAATTAACTCTTTGAGTCCCAGAGGGTTTAGCATTACAGGCCCAAGGGGTAGTAAAAAAATACATAAAATCGGCGCATCATGCGTTCATTGGGCTTCTAAGTAGTAACCTATGAACGTATGATGCGTTCCTTGGGACTCAAAGAGTTAATACTAATATTCCTTTAGGTCAACATTGCTATTTCTTATTTTTTTCCTCCACAGTGTTGGTTTGCACATAGTTTACGGAAATTTTCTTTACGAGATTGGTCCATAGAGCAGAAATGGATGTCTGTGCTTCTTCCCCTGCTGTTGTTGTATAATGGTAAGATTAACATAATCTAAAAAAAAAATTTTATTTTTGTACAGATATTAGAAGGTGTGCATTTGTCATCCGTGCCTTTGTTTTTTTAAATGTTTTTCATGCAATGAATGTTGACATATAAACATAATATGTGTAGTGAGTCATTTTCTCCTCATTAATTTATGCCCGATAGATGACGTCAGTAATAGATGTAAGACGAATGTTTTGACTGGTTGAGAACACGAGATTTATGTCTTGAGTTTTATGAGAGACATCTGAAAGTCAGGTTTTATGTGAAACATGATTGTTCACAGGATCTGTGTGAAATGTGAATTATCACGGGCCAGACACGACTTTCAACAGTGGGAAATTCGTGAGAATGAATCCAGAATATTCTAGAATAGGATAGATCAGAGGGCTATATAATAGCGAGGAAAAGGTTTGTGGGCAGTCTCGTTTTGGACCCAGGAACAGTGTGCATGGACAGCGGTGGATGATGTGTGAATTCAGCAGATGTTTTTGAGTGAATTTGTTCCAGTCCAACTTGGCGAAGAAAGCTGGCCAGTAACATGTCTGCCGGTCGTCTGAGTGTATCTGTCAGGACAGCTGTTGTGTTTCGTTTACGATGTTAGTGTAAATCGATTGGGATTTCTGCTTGAAGGTAATAATTGATTCTTGCATTATAATGTGTGCCTGGACAGTTGTCAAGTTCATGTGCCGGCTGTGTAAGCCGCGAGTGGAAGAATAAAGTACTGGAACAGTATCGTGTTGTTTCCCAGTCGTCCATTTTTTCTGCTCGACGTGTGATGTCGGTTTTGTGAGTTGGCAGCGAGCGTGCGATGAGGCGAGCCAGTAGAAGATAAAAGAGAATCATCGCAAGATGGGGAACTCGTCCAAACATTTGAGGATAGGAAAGTTGTTTCGAACTGAAAAAATCTGAGACATCGAAAGGTGTTTAGTTATCAACCTGACGTCAGGTAGTACCAGTTCAACATACGAACGTAAGCGGGGAAGATCGATGGCGAAATAACAACAACCCATATTCGATAGTTCACAGATTGAACAATGTTCGGACAAATTCCAGGCTTTGAATACTGATAGACAAGTCCACGTTTTAAGTTTCGACCAAGTAATCAACAATCAACTAAGATGCGAAGGAAAGATTGCAGACAGTGACGGTGTCAAAGAGCATTCATTGATTGTAGCGAAGGAATACAACCGTAAGTCTACACAGAGATGATGTGAGACTAGGGCTGCCCCTCTGCAAAACTTCCGAAGCCTTGTTGTTTGATCAAATTTTGCTGCCGACTAAAGTGTGGTAAAGTGTAGTGGGAAATCTACACTGAACAACACAGAGAAGCGTCGACACCAGATCCTGTTTTTCGGATCTGTTTTTCAAAACATAGAAAGACAGTGAAACACCGGGTAGAGTGTTAACTGTACAGAAATCAAAAAGAACCACAGCTCTGACACTGGGTATTTGTGTCGCAGCTCTACATTTTCAGTCGTGGCAAACCAGTCAATAGGAAAACTGCAGTATGACAAGTCTACAAAACCTCAAGATCAGCACTCATTAATGTCTCGTGATCAATGATGCTTCAAGTTCATCGTGTAATCGCACATATCACAAGAAAGCGATAACAATAAAGCTTTCCTACGTCCTAAACACATTCAGTCGACAGGAAAAGCATCAAATTGGTCGGTGCAAATCTAAGTATTGATTGAAGTGTGTAGCAGTAGCTAGCAGTGAACTATTTGTCTACAATTAACAATGTACTATTGAAGTGTGTAGCTAGCAGTGAACTATTTTAGTGTCTACAGTTAACAAGGTACTATTGAAGTGTGTAGATACCAGTTGAACTACTCAATGATAAATATCCAGTTTATGAAACCTATAGTACAGTGAACAGTACCACAAACAGTATACAGTTTCTGTAATAAATATTTCACTGAACAATTCCTTAATTAGTGTGCATTCAATGCCGAAATTACTAGTGTGAGCAGATAAACTGTGCGGTATTAATTGGTTTCAGTGCCCAGTTCATGAAATCATTACTAAGGTGTGTTAATTTCAATTAACCATATCAAATTATCATTTCTTTAGTATTTAAAAGTAGCAGTAGCATATTCAACAGACAAGCTTCAACGAAACAACCTTCAAGAAAGCAACAGCCATCGCAGAATCAGCTTCAGGTCAACTTCAGGACAGTCAACTAGATCAGCACAACAATATACATTGATTATTAAATTTATTTTTGATTTATTTTTCTGGTGATTCAATTATTTATTATAATTATCAATATTATTTATTTATAATTTACATTGGTGCAGTCATTGACATTTATTTTATTTATAATTTACATTGGTGCATTCATTGACATTTATTTTATTTATTTATAATTTACATTTATTCATTGACATTTATTTTATTTATTTATAATTTACATTGGTGCATTCATTGACATTTATTTTATTTATTTATAATTTACATTGGTGCATTCATTGACATTTATTTTATTATATTGGTGCATTCATTGACATCTACTTTATCTATTAATATTGTTACATTGGTGTTTTTGATATTATTTTGTATTTTCCTATTATTCTTTACATTATTTCTTTTTATTTATAAATATTGGCAAATTGTATTGAAATTCTATATTATTTTTTGGGTCATTTTAAAAAAAATTGTGGGTGTTATATTACACGGAAGTTCAGTACCACCATCATCAGGAAGTGCCATAATTAATCATATACACATCATCATTATCAAGTGTCAAAGTTATTTCAATTTGAGTTTAACATTTGATCTACCCATTCACATTTGATCATCATCAAGTATAATCACTATAACAAAAGTATAGTTGTGGGTAATAGAAATTGTATTGTATACCAAAAATAATAAGTCAATCATTAGTTGATTGGCGAAGGATCATTGTAATATTATTTGGTGATACACTAATTGATTCAACACTATATCTTTATTTAATCTGTGTTGAATAGTATTATTGTTGATTTCTAATATAGACTAAAGGTATTGGGGGATAAGAATTATTTTTTTTAGTTTCTGCATATATATTGTAACTGAGTTTTGCGTCATTGAAAGCGAACTTAATAAGCATCTTACTGAACAAGTGAATTTAGTAGTTATTACGTGAAATAATTTAATTATTTGAGACTATTAGTGATTACTCTATCACAGTCGATTATCAAGACTAATTCAATCAAATATTTTTTTTTTTTAGAATAGTATTTAATTATACCCAGACTGTGCGGCCAATAAAGACAATTTTTTTTTTTGGGTGATTTTACAAGGTATAATCAGTTGAAACTTTATAACCAACTACTGTACTACACAGGATTATTATAACATTGTTACACATTTTACATTTATATATTAATTAGTTATTTATTTGGTAAATATTTTGATAGTCCACTACATCAACACTTTGATAATCCAATACATCTACTCTAGTGCTATAACATTCTATTAGTTGATTATTAAATCTTTATCAAATAATATATCATTTATTCTTGCTGTCATATCTAATTTCTCAAGTGTGCTTAAGTGATTTACTCTCCCATAAGCTAAACAAATATTAGTTAACTCTTCTTCTCAAACATCAACTGTATATATATATATAGAATTATTTAGTAATAGACTTGGTGGTTGGAAGAGTTACATCCACTTTATTGCAAGGTTTGGTATTGATACCCAGTGACATTTAGTTATTAATTCAAGTTACTAGTTCATTATATTGAACTTATATTGTTCTTTTTAAGGTGTGTATTTTGAAAGAAAGGAATTGTAACTTCACTGTTGTTTACATTGTAAAGACATAAAAATGTCTAACTTGGCAGAACTGATCAAGCTGGGCAAAGAATTGAATTTGGAAGGGGAAGAACTTAGAAAATTTTGTGATGAAAAGAAAAAAAAAAAAGAAAATGCAAGACGATGCCAGGGAAGAACGGAGATTATTAAGAGCACACGAACTAGAGGTTAAAAGACAGGAGATGGAGATAAGAGAAAAACAACTGGAACACGAAAAAAATGAAAAATAGACAATGAACAAATGAAATGAACAAGGAACAAGAAAGAATATTAAAAGAACAAGAACTGAATTTGGAACGCGAGAAGATAGCTGCGTCAATTCAGATTGAAAAAGAAAAGACAGAGGCTCAAATCAGAACTTAAGAAATGGAAAATGATTCCAGAAGAGAAGCTGCTATCCAAAAAGAAAGATTGAGAGAAGAAGAAAATAAATTCAAAAAGTATGCAGGTATAGTCATAAATTTTTTCTGAAAAGGATGACATTGGTAGTTATATATCTAGTTTTTTTTTGCAAATGCGCTTTCATGATGTTCCAAAAGACCAGTGGGCCATTATTTTTCAAAAAACATTTAGCATTTGAACCATTAAAGATCTTAGAAACAGTCCCTGAACATCTAAGATTAGACTTTGACTATATTAAAGATCGCATCATGCGACACTATGACCTACATGAAGCAGGGTATAGGAAAAAGTTTCTGGATTTAAAGCCAAAGTCTGATCAGACGTTCACTGACTATTTTTCGGAAGTTCAGAATATTTTTGATAAATGGATTGATTCGGCCAATGTTAGAGATAATTATAAATTATTAGTAGATTTATTATTAAGGAACAAAATGTTGGAATCTTTACCTAAACCTATGTCAACCTTTTTAAGAGAAAATAAACCAACCTCATTGAAGGAGTTAGAGAACTTAGGTGAGAATTATTTTTCAGCCCATCGTGAAATCTTCATTTCCAACCCGGTACCAGACATTGAAACTGGAGCTAGTGCCAGTTATGACAAAGGCAGATACAACCAAGGGGCAAACCCACACAAAAACAAAACCACGTTCAACAAAAAGTGGCAAATGACGTACTGCAAATATTGTCAAAAAATCTCATCCGAACGACAAAATGTGTGATAGAAATCCGGGTTATAAAGACTATGTAGACAAACTGTTTAATAGAAGAACACAGAGGTTGAGATTTTATAAAGATGCCATTAAATGTTACAATTGTGGTTGCTATAATCATGTGAAAAAAAACTGTTTATTTAGAAGAAAATTTAAGGAAGCCAACATATCACAGGCAATGTCAGACTCAGATTCAGACACCGAACCATTTGAGACCAATGCAGTAACTGTTGAAACTTGCCCTGTATGTCAACAGTTCCATGAAGAAGATAGCCTTCCATGTGGCCATAATATACCTGTACAAGAAGCCAACTCAGCCACAAATACACAGGGAACCTTAAAATTATACAGAGGAATTGTAAATGGAAGAATAACCACCATTTTGAGAGACACGGGCGCCACAATTTCAGGTATCCACAAAGATCTTATCCAACCTGAAGACATTATTAACAAATATATTCGTTGCCGAACGTTTGGAGGCACGATTGAGAAATATAAGATAGCTTTTGTCAATGTTAACACTCCATTTTTACAAAGAAGAATGAGAGTTGCAGTATTACCATCACCATGTGCAGGATTAATTTTGGGGAATGAAAACGGTTTGAAAGAAATGTCTGAGCAAGAAATGTTTCAGTGGGAAAGAAAAAACATCAAAGAAGTGAAAGAAAATAACAACACAAGTACCAGTGATCAAGAGTATTGCCATAGTGTGAATGTAACAGTAAGTGAGAACATGATTAACAGTGATGAAGATCTTCGCCTTAGTGTGAATGCAAGAAAGCAAGGGAATGAAAGTGACTCATCCAAGAATAGGGAGCAGTCAGTCAGTCATGCAAGAATGAGTGAAAGTATCAGTACAAAAAAGAAGCAGAATGAAAGGAATGAGAATACAGAGTGTAAAGATAAATGTATGAAAGGAGTACAATATGAGAACATTGAGGGTAAAGATAATGATATGAAAGAAGTACTGAATGCAAGAGAAATGAATGACAATGCATTGTGTGATAAAAACATACCATCCATACTGAATGAAAGTGAAAAATTGAGAAATAGTGATGCAAGAAAGAATACACCAAGAACAGTTGCAGATAATGAAAACTTGAAAATAGTAATTTATTAAAAGGTGACCACAACTCATGAGAGAAAAAACATCATGAAAAATCCTCATACTATACAAGTAATTACATTTGGCTGATGCAATACATCTTACTTACCATGTGGCAAATTCTGTTGATAACATGCCAAACATACAATCTTGATTCATTCTGTATTATCCAAAGCATCCAGATCCTACAACTTCTTCTGACTATAAGTCCTATTTACAAAGATTGCTACAACTCTCAACTATTTGTTACTACAAAAACTTGTCAAATTCTTAGAAGTGCTACACTACTAACACTTTTGTTGCTGAAACTATTACTTGTACAAATGATGTATTCAAAACACTTTCCACAGTCGGTGATTACAAATCTTTATTGCCACAGTCAAATCCACAATCAAACAAACAGAATATAAAATAGTTACATTCATGAAAAACTTACAAAAAGATTTTGGGTGTATATTGTTAATTAGTCAGACAATTTATGTATACAATGATCAGGTCCTTTTGTTGTTACAAGAAAGATTTCTGATGTTGATTATGAAATCAAATTTTTCATGTAAACATGCTTAAACCATATTTAAAAGATCACTATTGATGTCAGATGATGATGTATTTGATGCAAATTTAAGTAATGTATATGTCACAGAAACTTAACCAAACTCAACAAAAATACAATACATTTGAACGAGAAGCGTTGGCACTAGTTATTAGTCTAAAAAAGTTTCAGAAGTTTCTTTTGGGAAAAGAATTCACTATTTTAACAGATAACTTGGGGTTGACAAAATTATTAACAATTGATGCCAATAGCAATCCAAGGGTATATAGATGGGCATTGTTGATATCACAATTCAAATTTAACATTGAACACATCAAAGGAACAGACAATCATTTACCAGATATCATGTCACGTTTGTAGAACATGTTACAACTGCTATTACAACTTGTATTAACTGAAATCATTTTATGCAAGGGTATGCATTGTATTATTGTATGAATGTATTATATGAATTTACAACTTGGAAAATGTATGTTTTGATTTGAACGGGTATAATATAGTAAACAATTAAAGGGAGACAACATTCAGGATTAAAATACACCTCACCAGAAAATGTTACATTTACTAGTATACTAAATTGAATTGGTGTAGCATTTAATTTGAATATGTGTGTTAATGAGACATGTTGTGGTTTCTGAAGACAAGGTAATTAACTACATCTTGTACCTTACATAGTTGGGAACAAAACCATACATTGCTGATTTAGCCATTGTTGAGGGCTTTCATGAATGGGAATAGCGAGGGTGGGACTTCATGGGGTCACACTTCGGTTTTAGAGCCAAGATTTTGGACTTCCGCACCGATCGGGGGGTGCCAGGAGAGGGGTTCGGTTGTATACCGACTTTAGAACTGGGTGGGGATACCTATGGAGCCAGATTATTGGTCTTCCGCACTAAAAGGGGAGTGCCTGGGGTGAGGATCCCATTAAGGTATTCACAGTCGTGCAAAGACCCAACAGATGGCATTTTAGAGTGTTTGAATTGTTAACCTAATGAGGTAAAGGGAACTTGGTTGGAAATGAACTTGTCGAAAATGATTCACTACAAAGGTCTAGAATCACAATGTTCAGTGAAATGTTCACACCTGATTAATTGAAAATGTAAAACATTTTTTTGGGGTGGGGGGAGAATGTAGTGAGTCATTTTCTCCTCATTAATTTATGCCCGATAGATGACGTCAGTAATAGATGTAAGACGAATGTTTTGACTGGTTGAGATACACACGAGATTTATGTCTTGAGTTTCATGAGAGACATCTGAAAGTCAGGTTTTATGTGAAACATGATTGTTCACAGGATTTGTGTGAAATGTGAATTATCACGGGCCAGACACGACTTTCAACAGTGGGAAATTCGTGAGAATGAATCCAGAATATTCTAGAATAGGATAGATCAGAGGGCTATATAATAGCGAGGAAAAGGTTGTGGGCAGTCTCGTTTTGGACCCAGGAACAGTGTGCATGGACAGCGGTGGATGATGTGTGAATTCAGCAGATGTTTTTGAGTGAATTTGTTCCAGTCCAACTTGGCGAAGAAAGCTGGCCAGTAACATGTCTGCCGGTCGTCTGAGTGTATCTGTCAGGACAGCTGTTGTGTTTCGTTTACGATGTTAGTGTAAATCGATTGGGATTTCTGCTTGAAGGTAATAATTGATTCTTGCATTATAATGTGTGCCTGGACAGTTGTCAAGTTCATGTGCCGGCTGTGTAAGCCGCGAGTGGAAGAATAAAGTACTGGAACAGTATCGTGTTGTTTCCCAGTCGTCCATTTTTTCTGCTCGACGTGTGATGTCGGTTTTGTGAGTTGGCAGCGAGCGTGCGATGAGGCGAGCCAGTAGAAGATAAAAGAGAATCATCCTCTTTCCTGCTTTCGGTGTCGAGGGAGATATAAGATTTTACATCTCGCTCTTCAGGCCCCTTTGACTATAAATCCATCATGTTGTTGTAAGATTTCTCTAATGTTATCTTTCTATGTAGTTTTTGGTCAACCATAATATTCTGTATCCTTCTTAATTTTAGTGTTTGCCTGGTATTATAAGGATGTCACAAGGCATTCTCTCTGAATGGTCAAATTCATTCATTATCATGTAGCAGGTCCTTTGCAGAATGTGCTTTCTTTACAGTCTGCCTGAAAGAAACTCAGTCACTCGCCAGCTCTCATGATTTATGTACTTTCACTTGTATCCTGTGTCGGTCTTCTTGTTGGTCAGCCCCTGCCTCTCCTTCATGGTGTTTTTGGCTTCCATGATGAGTTTCTCGGGATAGTAATGTGTTAGTTTCCCCTTGCATTCCAAATCCACATGGCTTTAGATTATGTCCTTAGCCTTCAGCAACCTTTTAGATCGCAAGGACAAGAGTTTTTTCCTTCATTATCATCATGTGCCCTGCCAACTGATATAGGCGCTAATGCGTCTCCGCAGATCACAATCCCTGGTTGCCTGGAACAGCTCTCTTGATGATATCTCTCCATGTCATCTTTTCAGTCCATCCAGCATCATTTCTCTTGGTCTGCCTTTACCCCTTTTTCCACTGATCTTTCCAATTGTCACGATGTTCTCCAATTTTTCTCTTCTCAGTATGTGGCCAAAGAACAATGTTTGTCACTTTCTTATTGTTGTAGATAGAGATCTACTTTCATTAGCTTATTTCAAACAATCGTTGTTAGTTACTCTGGCCATCCAAGGTAGTCGTAAAGATCGTCTCAGAAACCACATCTCTGTTGCTTCCAGATTCTTCCTAATTCGTTTACTGACATTCAAAGATTTGCTGCCATACAGCAGAACAGGTTCTATGTAACATTTTAGCACCTTCTTTGTGTCTTCCTTACTGTGCATTTTTTTATTGTTTATAAGTTAGGTTAAATAGTCATGAGCAGGATGAGACAATGTCTTGGGTGTGCCCAGTACCAGAGCACCATGTATTAGCTCTGCATTTGTGGAAGCCTCCTTGGATGGCGAGGAATCTCATGTTCTGCCCCTGCCTTCTCTTGAGGGCTTATCGGCATTACGTGGCCTCTCTGGGCCAGCCTGATTGGGGCACCACTTGAGACCTGGAAAATAAAGATGACCACGCAGCAATGAGACTGCCATGTCCCCAGAAACTAATCCTGAAGGCTAACCCAGTCAACAAATGCCCGCAGAAATTGGATGTGTTGGCCGAACGGTGCAAATATCCCAGCCATGCTGTAAACAGACACAACGCAATTACATCTTCGGATGAACGCAGAAGAAGAAGAAGATTTTATTTTTTCATTTTATCAATTGCAGATCCGATCTTCCCTTTAACTTTCCTGGTAAACAGCTGGCTGCCAGGCATGCTAGATGGACTCTTTCAGGCTTCTTTTCTCAGTGCCTTGCTGCTCTTTTGGTTATGTATTTACCACAGTGTTCGGCAGGTAGGTTCATCTTTTTTTTTTTTAACGATTATGCCACTTCATTAGTCATTCAGCTTGTACGGGACAGTTGTATAAAATAATTGGATAAATTGTGTAAGCAGCGTCCGTGGCTTAGGCGTTGCCAGTCCGACTCATAATTCCAACGTACCATGATCGAAACCCACTGCTGGCTGCATGGATTTTTTATCATGGTGTGGGGCATCACAGGTCGACCCAGCCTCAAATGGGTACCAGGAAGTATGTCTTGGGGAAGTAAAGATGGCTGGGGTAATGCTGACCACATTACCCACCTAGTGCCAATTGGTCTGTAAAAATATAAGTGCTCTTCCTATATGCTCAGTGCGCCTAAAGGCACGAAAAGGGATCTTTACTTTAATCAATTGTGTAAGTTAAAGTATGTATTTTCAGTTCTAATGTCATTTCAGTTTTAACATATGCCAATGAAAGTTGGAGAACCAGTGAACATATGGTTAAGTTAAATGCTTGAGGAAAAAGGTGAAAATATAATGGGATGAATGCAAGAGGAGTGAATAAAAAAGTTGAGTTGAGTCAAGAATTAACATCACAGCACTGGGGGAATTCCGATGTGTGCTCCATCCTCATCTTCAGCAGCCAGTGCAGGGTTCCAGTACTGATGATACCGGTCACAATCTGGTTATATGTCCGTCTTGCCTTTCCTCTAAGTGTAGTGAGCTGGCTAGACCCTCTGGTTACTGAGAAAAAAGGTGAAAATATAATGGGATGAAGCAAGAGTAGTGAATTAATTAGATACTTCTACCACCACTATCAACAGTTAAAGGACAGATAAGATGGGGATGTATTGGTCACATTCTGAGAAGAGGCAAAGAATCACCACCAAATAGACACCCAGAGAAATTGAGGAAACGAGGATGTATAAAAGAAACCCTAAAAGGAATGTTGATAAGAGACGCCAAAGATGCTGAACTGATTCCTTTCACGATATCAAGAGTTATTGACAGGATATAATGGACTTGGGAAATGGCCTAAGAGCCTTTTGTTTCATATAATAGCACAACAGAACATTGAACATGATTTAAAAAGTGTATAAGTTTTATTTTTAACCATTTTGTCAATTTGTCATTGAGAATTGAAATTATTTTGTAAAAGATGCATAGTCATTTAGGTGTCCCTTTTAACCCTGCACAGTTAGTTAAGTTGAAAAAAAATTTAGTTATACTCCGTTAAAGGACATGGCAAACCAACCCCAGAATTTCTCGGCTGTTGTGATTTTACAATGCACTTTTATGTTCAGTAGTTTGCCATTCCTTCCTAATAGTTCAAGGCTTTTTCATTGTCCAGATTTAACTCAAAGCTAAATTGCCTGCAACTAAATTAAACTCACTATGTCAGAATCATGAAATTCAGTTCATAAACCCTAAGCCATGAACACTGACTGAACAAAACAAATGAATAGTAATAATAGCAAGAGGATTTTTTTTTGTAGAGATACCAAATTTCTACAAGCTTCCTCACTTAACTGGTGGGGCATGTGTCTTGCATTTGCAAACAGGAGCTAGGTTTCATATAAACAATCTATTGGTTGTTAGAAATTAATAAAGAGAAACCCATTGTGCCTACTGCCATGGCAGAATATTTACAGTATTCTGGGTTTAGCATATGTCCATTGCCTGTGTGGGTTCTGGGACCCCATTTTTTTTGGGGTGGGGGTTGACCCACTACACCCTGACAAGCATGTTGTATGAGGTGAATAATTAGGTATGTTTCCTTCAGAACTGGATTGCATCTGCCTGAGAAGCAAGAAACCAACAGCTTGCCTACAAAGAAGCCAGATCTGTGAAACAAATATGCACACAAAACTTATTCTAGATGAAAACTAAAGTCTGAGAGTGGACAAAAACAAACAAAAAACTAGAATTTTCTACCAGAGTTTACAGCCATGAACACGAAGAAGAAGAAGAAGAAAAAGAAGCAGAAGCAGCTCCTGCAGCAGCAGCATCTCCTGCAGCAGCAGCAGAAGCAGGACATTATTACTATTGGAGACAGAACATAACTTGTGTGCCGTTTCCACAGTGAAGGTTGGCTTTCACAGGATGCTCGCTGATGTATTTTGGAAAATTACCTTGTTGAGGTCCCAATCCTCTTCTCGGTGTGACTCTTTCACCACTTTCTGAAAACCAAGAGAGTAGTTTATTGTCTTCTTTTTGTTGTTTTTGCAATAAATGACCTGCCGCAGGGATTGTCTTTTTTTTTGGGTGGGTGGGGGGGGGGGGGGGGGATAAATTATCTGCTGCAGAAATAAAACCTTAACACGCAGGGATTGTCTGGGTTTTTTTTTTTGGGGGGGGGGGGGGCGATAAATGATCTGCCGCAGAAATAAAACCTTTAAACACAAGGATCATGAAATAAGAGATAATGCTGTTTGACTTGTGTATTTGCTTTTTAGATATGTTGAACCTGCAGACTGCCAGTTCCTATATTTATTGTTTGTTAGTTTCTCTTTCAGGCTATCAACTGTGTGTCAAACAATTTAATTTTTTCAAATTATTTGTGTGAGTGGGGGGGGGGGGGGGGGGGGGAGGAGAAATATGAAATATAGATCAGTGCTTTATTAGGAGCAAGTTAATTTTGATTAACACTTTTTTTTGGTGTGAAAATTTTTCAGACTGATCGACGATTCGTTAGATTCTATATTCCGAAGATTTTCATAGTAGGCCTAATTTGGCTGTGTGCAGTGACATTGGCTTCATGGCAAGAGTATAATGAACTGCAGGATCCTACCTATTACTATAGATTAGATACTACAAATTTTGAGGTATGATTTCCTGTCAGTTGAGTGATTTATTTGTTTTAAATCATTGTTACCTAACTGTATTTAATTTTGTAGAGAGTTCTCTCAACCACTGTGAGACCTTTTGTTGCTGGTAAGTAAAGTGAAGATCCTTTTTATGTCTTTGGCATATCAGGTGTATTGTAAAAAGTAAAAAGGACCCTTTTCCATGCCTTCAGGTGAATTGGGCATATAGGGCAAGACCTGTGTTTATATAGACCAAACGGCACTTGGTGAGTGATGTGATCAGCATCACGCCGACCGCCTTTACTTCCCAGCACTTCACCAGGTACCCATTCAAGGCTGGGTCGATTTGGAGCCAAGAGCATTTTAAAAAAAAAAATGTCTGATACCGCCAGGACCCGAGCTCCACAACCTTCCGATCCAAAGGCGAGTGTCTAGCCGCTACACTACGACACGTAATACTAGACCTATATTTTTTTTTTTTAAGACAGTAATCACTTGAGTTGAGAACTGACATCACAGCCCTCAGGACATTCCCATAAGTGCTCCATCCCCATCTTCTTTAGCCAGCAGAGTTCCACTTCTGACACTACCAGCAGCAGTCTAATTGTATATCCTTCATTTGAGTATTGGCCAGATCCACTAGTTACTCCCCATGCCACCATTCGCTGCAGCTCGTAATGATCTAGTCATGCTTTCACATTGTTCACTTGCTCCTAATGGGCCTAGACCCAGTCTAGCTTGTCATGCATCATTCATCACCCAATGAGCAGTCTGTTGGCCTGTTTATTTCCCAACACACCTGCCTAAAGAGAATATTTGGTCATCCCCTTGTGGGATGTAATTTTTCGTTATTTTGAAGCCCCACCCTGGCTCTTGCCATAGAGCCGTAATATAGCCTGGCCATAAATATGGTCTAATGGCTGAACCGGGACCTCTCCACGAGTGATCCTCATCCACATGGTGGCACTTTGTGTCATCAGGTGTTTATCACTTGTGTTATGTCCTAGTGGGGTAAAATTTACTACTACTACTACTACCCTAGAGAAAAGATCCAAAGGAAGCTAACTACTAAGGATCTCTGAAGCGATGCTTGCCACTCTGCAATTAGCATGCCTTTGTCCACCTTTCTTCTTATGCTTTATGAGTTTATTACAATCACAACATGTATGTACAGCTGGTTTTCAAGACAGCAGAAAGCTGCTGTGACTGCCTCTATTTTCATTCTCAATCTATATGTTATGTCATATCCTTGGCTTTGTTGCACTAAGAGAACTATAGTACACTGTTTCTGCTTCTCAACACAAAGCCATCTATATAGATATTCACACCTGGGTGTGAAATGTCATGAGTTGTCATTGAATTTCTGTTTCTTTAGTGGTAAAACTCAAATTTGAATATTTGGAGAACACTGTCTTGGAACACCCTGACATGGCATAATCAAATGGCTGCAGACGTAGAGTCTAGACATTAAAAGCCAAGTTAGCTCCATCTAGCTAACAGTCAACATCCTTCTACCTTCCAGTACCAGCTGTTAATTAGGCACCTCTAAAACCTTTGACAGATAAGGGTCTCACCCTCTTTAGCACTGATAGACACATTTCAACAGCTATGTTACCCATACATTTTAAGAACCTAATTTGGACTGTCCCATTCTGTTATAAAATCATACTAGTAAACACTTCTCATGTAACTAGGCCCAGTAAAGGAAGCAAAGAATAGTAATTTCACCTTTGTGATGAGGCTATGAATGAAAAGACAGTTGCTGATGGAAATTAAAAAGAGACAAACGAAATAATTTGGACACATTACAGTTTTATAATGGAGAGGATCGACTTCATTGCATCACATGGATCAGTCTCCACAGAAACAGCTAGCTGCCTTCTGAGAGTGTTCTACAAAGCATGGACTCCATTGCTTCAATGACAGTTCTTAGAGATCTCCGTACATACAGCGATTTTGAACAGAACAACACAGCCATTAAGTGAACCCACGACCTTCAGAGCATAAGGCAAATGGCTTCACCACAGAGACCCCTGGCCACATTAAAACCTTTCACTGGCTTTAAACTCCAGCATCAAGTTTTGTTTGTTCATCCACTACCGGACTTTGGTCTTGGTTCAGAACCTCAGTTTTGCAAGACACGCCCACTTTACATACTTCATAAACAACTCTGTAGCAAGCGGGAAAGAGGCGTTTACGGAGCAATGGCACAAACTATAAGTGCCCAGCTTTGTGCTTCTCATGTGAGAGGGTTAAAATAATATATATTGCAATCACAATTCTTTCTTGTCTGAATGTCCGCTAAGTGCCGCAGGAGAAGTCTGAGGCCTGGGAGTAATGACCGAGGTCAACCCTCTCCTGAGATTGTCTAGGACGGGGCTATTCAACTGGCTGCCCGCGGGTCAGATCTGACCCCCTGGAGCCTAGCGAGTGGCCCGAGGATCATTGCCGATTGTACTGAATTAATGGTCTTTCTATGCTGTGACAATTTCTAGTTTAATCATTTTGGTCCCTGAGTAAACTTAGTTGAATAAACCTGGTCTAGGGAATAATCCTGCTGAACAATTGTTGAAAGGGGGAGTCCTACTGCAGATCCGTAGACTCCTGCTGTGCATGCTCACACTCTAGCAGTGGAGTTCTTTTTAATAATAATAAATTTCTTTCATTCAAAGAGAAAATATAAGTTGACTGCAAGTGTATAGTTGGCTCTTTGAGAGCAAGTGAACAATGGAGAAGCTCGAATAGTTAAAAGAGCCGTGTGATGGGGCGTGACCAGGGAATCTGGCCAACACTGCACTCAGAGGAAAAGTGAGCTGAACATAGAATCAAACTGCTACTGACACTATGGAAATAGGAACTCTTTGCTAGCTGCTGAATTTGAAAAATGGGCGTGATGGGAATTGATGTTACTTTATGAATCAACCCCACCCCTCTGTATATTTCTTATGTTTTTTTCTTCTTTATAGGGCTTTAAAATCATGTTCTTCATTTTTGGAGGCTTCTACTTGTTGTATCTTCTATATCTACTTGTCAGAGCATATGCAGAACTCAGACTTATGCCCTACTTTGGTAAGCTATGTGTACCTTTTTTTATATATTTTGTATATTAACTCTTTGAGTCCCAAGGAACGCATCATACGTTCATAGGTTCCCGCCTAAAAGCCCAATGAACGCAAGATGCACCGATTTTACATCTCTCTGACTACCCCTTGGGCCTCTGATGCTAAACCCCCTGGGACTCAAAGAGTTAACATTTGATAGGCTCCTGACATGGAAGACACAAGGGGAGGCAAGTCGAGCAAGAGCAAGGCAGAGAATGGCAATCATGAAAAAAAAATTTGCTAGTACAACATTTATGCTATGAGTAATTTCTCGAGGAGCTGTGTTGTACTGGACTAGAAAGGCTAATCCTTGAGAGTCCAAAATCAATGTGGATTATAATTAGCACTATGAAAATCATGCCCTTTAATGAACTAGAAATGATTGCGGGTCTGCAGCCAGTGGAGGATAGAAGAGTCAGCAAATCCCAACAAGAAGAAGACAAATTTAGAAGATTGGCAGATCACCTCATGCATCATTGTAGAGACTGCAGATAAAAAGATCAGAGATGATTCTATACTTAACATTTCAACATCAAAACCCATCCACATTACACACAGGTTCCCTGCTTGGAGAAAGCAGCACCTGCCTGAGTTGATAAAAAAAAAATGTTCCTGGTATTGAGAAAAAGAACACTCAGAATGAAATAAGAAGAGGAAAAAACCACCTTAAACTACACAGAAGAATGTTACCCGACACCTGGACTCAAGCCTTTACAGATGGATTAGCAATAAACTAAACAGAAAACGCAGGTGGAGGTATCGTCCTGAATCTAACAAATGGATCAAAGAAAATGCAGTCAGTTGCGGCTGGGAAAATCTCAAGTAATTTTACAGCAGAAGCAGGGGCTTTGAGAATTGCAGCAAAAATGGTTTTGACAGAGAAAAATACAGAGAAACACATAGCTATTTTCACAGATGCAGTCATTTGTCACAGCACTGAATATTGATGATACCACAACATCCAGCTTGATAATGGAGATGGAGGTAGTCACTGTAGCTTTCCGTTGGTTAGAGAACACGACATACACACACACATCGTGATTGTAACTGACTCAGAAAGCATGCTGAGGAAGGTCAGGACAGGCATGGTTGGTGCAGAGTGGCATGCTTTACTGCAGACGACTTGGGTAAGGAGTATTGTCTGGATTTTTTCACCGGGTACGGCGGTGTGTTAAGAAATGAACATGTGGACAGACTGGCTGGGTCTGTACAACTTGGTGGAATACTGATGCATGATAAGGCAGACAGGGTTATTGCCTTGTGGGAGAGTGTGTACAATTCGGAGGAGCAGATGGATCACCACAGTTTGATGAGATTGAAGCAGCAGGAAGTGACGAGAGGTTCTGGCAGATGCCCGAGGCTCAGAGGAAAGGCAAGACTGACTTTTATTTAATCAGAATGCTACTGGCACCATTACTATTAGTATCAGAACTCTTCACTGGCTGCTGAAGATGGGGATGGAGCGCTTATAGGAATGTCCCAAGTGGTGTGATGTCGTTTCTTGAATCAACTCAACTCAGCACTGTACAGAAATAGCAGACTCAAAAAGAACTGCACTCCATGGACTGAGCCTGAAGTCAGAATGAGTCATCATAATACAATGGATCCTATCCATTGTAATGTACCTAGAAATGAAGAGGCTGACAGATTGGAAAAGGAAGGTGGAAGACTACCACAGCCTATAATAGACATAACAATAATGATGCTAGGAGGTTAATAAGAAGTACCGACTATCCAGGCCACAAGAAGGATGATGCAAACTTCCAACTTGACTGAAGAAACAACGCATTTATACATATGAATAAATGCAGAAGAAGAGTAAATGTTGTATATTATTATATATTATAGTAACAGATCACTTTGCTATTTAGGTAGTAATTTTGATAGTCAGGGAAACATACTATTGGATTTGCTATCTCTGTAGTCTGTGCCATTTTTCTTTCTTCACAAGGAACTATGATGGACATTCTGTGTGGTTTTTGTTGGTACATAGATGAAGCAACTGTGTTGTGACCCATTTGCTATGAAACTGGACCAGTGATTATCTGATTACCCTAGATTGATTATAATCATCAGCTGTTCAGTCCTAACATTGGTGTCGAAGACATATGATTACATGATTCTTCTGTCATCAATTCCTTTCGATTATGCCAATGTTGTAACCCCAGTATCTGTGTGATGTAAGAGGAGGAGGAGAAGACGAAAAATTTTGTTTCACAGTATCTTGGAAAATAGACCCTCATGTCTCTACATATCACACAGCAATTGCAGCCTTCATTTGTGTATATTCCAGTTGTCTGTTTTCAAATACACCTGTACTAAGTTCATATCATGTCTTTTCTGTCCAGCTCATTTGTTTTTTTTTGGGGAATCTGTTCTGCCTATTTATTTACTGTCTTTTGTGTCCTGGTCTTTTGTTCATTTGTTATCTTCCCTGTACATATCATTTGTTCCTTTGTTATCTTCTCTGTCCAAGTCATTTTTTCATTTGTTACCTTTTTTTGTCCACTTCATTTGTTCATCTGTTATATTCCCTGTCCAGGTCATTTGTTCATCTGTTATCTTCTCTGTCCAGGTCATTTGTTCATTTGTTATCTTCTCTGTCCAGGTCATCTCTTATCTTCTCTGTCCAAGTCATTTTTTCATCTGTTATCTTCTCTGTCCAGGTCATTTGTTTATCTATCTTCCCTGTCCAGGTCATTTGTTCATCTATCTTCTCTGTCCAAGTCATTTGTTCATCTGTTATCTTCTCTGTCCAAGTCATTTGTTCGTCTGTTTGGTACCTTCCCTGTCCAGGTCATTTGTTCATCTGTCATCGTTCCTGTCCAGGTCATTTGTTCATCTGTTATCTTCCCTCTCCAGGTCATTTGTTCATCTGTCATCTTTCCTGTCCAGGTCATTTGTTCATCTGTTATCTTTCCTGTCCAGGTCATTTGTTCATCATTATCTTTCCTGTCCAGGTCATTTGTTCATCTATCTTCTCTGTCCAGGTCATTTGTTCATCTGTTATCTTCCCTGTCCAGGTCATTTGTTCATCTGTTATCTTCCCTGTCCAGGTCATTTGTTCATCTGTTATCTTCCCTGTCCAGGTCATTTGTTCATCTGTTATCTTCCCTGTCCAGGTCATTTGTTACCTTTTTTGTCCAGTTCATTTATTTGATATTTTTATGCTCAGTTAATTTGTCATCTTTTCTGTCCAACTCATTTGTTCATTTGGTATATTTTATAACTTATTTATTCACATGATTTTTTTGGTCCTGAGTCCTTCTGACTCTTAACATGATGTGATTACTTCACACATATAATGCTCCTAGTTGTTGTCATCCCTTTGCTCAGAGTCTACAATTCTGCATTTTGGAAATTCATAACTTCACTTTGCCTTGTTTATGTGGGACACTACCACTATCCTATGGGGTAATTGGCCTTTGATATGAACAAATCATTTCACCAGTTCTAGAGCCCTGTTTTGGAGACATGAAAGATAAGATATCACAGCACAGCTTTAATCCACAACACAATGTGCCGACAGCCCTTTCAAGGGGAAATGCAGAGGAAGAAAAAGAAGAAGATAATGATGATGGTGAAAAAGTAGTCGTAAATAATGATACACTGATTTTTAGTTTCATAACCGGAAAGTATGAAACACATAAATGGTCATTTTTATTTTCGTAGACTTGCGGCTGAAGTTCATGACAGCCTTGATGGTGATCGTTGTTTCTATCAGCATTGCAATCACATTTATGAGGTTCGGAGGTGGCGTATTGCAGGACAACTTTATAGCAGAGCTCTCCACCAACTATGAGAACTCAGCTGAGTTTGTCTCATTTTATGGTCTTCTCAATTTCTACATGTACACGATGGCTTTTGTTTACTCGCCATCTCCAAATGCCATGTTTGGTATGTATCCGGGTTTATTACATATAGTTTTATCATTACTTTTAGTTACTGCTGCCCAGTGTCTCAGCTTTGCATATGATATTATTCTGCTACCAAAGAACAGCAATGATTTGCAAGAAAACAGGTGATTTAGAAAAAGTAGCATCAAAATTTATTAGATGCACTCTCTTTAGTGCATTCCATTCATAATATGGAGAAGATTGTAGAGTTTGAACTTTATGGAGGGATAGACTGTGAGCCCACTATAACATTTAAATAGCCCAGCAGGAGGGTGGTAGTGATTAGTACTATGTGATTGTATGGTGACTCATTAATGATAAAGCATCATTGTAGTTAAAATGGTTCTACTTTCTCATGTACCTTAAGCATAGTTAAAACGAAATATTTTAGTTTTAGTGAGTTAAAATAATAATACCTTTGTCTTCATCTTTGCTTTTGTACTTGCCCTTAGAAGGACAGTTGGTACATTTTGGTGTGGTACGTTTTGGTGCGGTTTACAGCTAAGCTGTCATATATGCATCTTTTGTCCCATAACGTTCGATTTCAGCAAACCCCTGACTAGTTGCCTTTCAGGGTGGCAATTGTTCTGTTTTACCTCCTCCCCACCTCCCCTGAAATGGGGCCTTGGAAAAAAACAGTAAATCTTGTATCCTAAATTGTCTGAATGCTGCTGTAACAGTCATTATCATGTAGCGGGTCCTTTGCAGACTATCTCATCACACCATGTGTCATGGACCTACTTATAGGTGTACTTTTGTTTTGTAGCGTTGTCCTGAAAGATTTGTTTTTGCGCACCAGTGGACTTTTGGGACATTGGTGGTGAACGGGTAGGAGCAAGGAGAGTGAGGAATGAATGGATAGTGGCGGTTTGGTTTGTGGGACTAAAGATTAGGTTTTTGTTTTGTGTGTGTTCAATACGTGTAGCTAATGAAGTCAGTGTTGACCACAGGGTGATCTACAGGGTGTTTTTCCAGTCTAATAATTCTGTCTGTGGTGACCCCAAAAAAAAAAGCATCTCTCCCAGCATGCCAGAAAGCCAGATGATCTTACTTCATGAACTTTCATGCCCAAGATGTCCATGATACCCAGTATCTACCACTGTGCTGGGCGTTTCCTGCCTCTTCTTCCAGGAACTGTATCCTCCAGTACTGACCTCTCCAAACCATTGTGGCATTTAATATGACTGAAGTATTTCAGTTCATTAGAAAGATACCATTTAAGAGCCAGTTCTCAATATTTAGATCATGACAAATGTCAGGATTGTTCCTCTTCTGGTCCACAAAACTCTCAGTAATCTTTCTGTAACATTGAAGTTAAAAATCTCTGATGTTGTAACAGTAGGTTTACTGTATTTTTTTACTGCTGTTATAGTGAAAAATTGCTAGATTATTTTAGTTGTTATACTCATATATTTACTAAAATTGGTTAATGTTGTCGTAACAATAGGTTAATTTGATTTGTATGTTAGCAGTGATAGGACTAGTACTTGTGCTTTATTAATATCCTACCACAAACAGTGTCAGTCCACAGGTCACAGGACAGTCTAATATTTCAGGGGTGGTAGATAGGCTGCATGCAGTCGTGAGAACGAGGCTACATGCAGTCGTGGGACCTAGGCTGCACTCTCTCGTGGGACGTAGGTGTGTTGGGGTTAGGGTCAGTTCTAGATGTTTTGGGCTTGTTAAAAACATCAGAAAGCAAGGAAACCCAGTCTTACCACCCTCTTTTTTAATTTTTTTTATTTTTTATCGATCACCGGCTGTGAATTCCAGTGGAAGGTCCCGGTTAATCGTCCGCTCGGACTTTTGGCTTTCACCTGGACCTGATTTTTGCTTGTACAACCGTTTTTCATTTCCCTGCCTCATAGGCAGCTGTACTCCCACTTCGAAGGAAGACGTCAGGCCTATTTCTAGGTTGACTGTGGCCATTGTTTTGTGTGGGTCGAGACGTTGCCTGATTTGTGTGGTGTCCACTTTGTCCCCTTCGCCGCAGGTATTGCCCTCGTACCCCTTTGGGGCAGCCCCCTGTGGAACAGTTAGCCCTCAAGGGAAGGCAGGGGCAGATCATGGGCATTCTCCGCCATCCAAGGAGGCTTCCATGCATGCAGAGCAGGCACATGGCGCTCTGGTTCTGGGCTCACCCAAGGAATCGTCACGTCCTGCACATGCCTGCTTAACCTCACAACCGTATCAGGCCTCCCGCTCGACAGGGGCTGCGCCCTCTGGAAGTCAGCGGGAAGCAGCCCGTTGGTTTTGGACTTTTGTGACCACACAGATAGGTACATTTTTTTTTCTTCGCACGTTAGATTTCTTTGACGAGCCGTTAGCCCGACAGAATTTTACTTCCTGCATCAGGCATATGGTTATCAGTTTTGTCCCAACACTCGGGCGAGTGGGGTCTTTGGGTGTGGACATTCGGTCTTTTTCAGTTTAATACAAATTTTGATGGTCAGATTTTGATCCGTATGATCTAGTTTTGTCGGACAATTAGTCTTAGCCATCCGATGGTTGGTTGCTGTTGTAGTGTACCTCAGCGCGGTGGCGACGACACTGAGGGTTAACCGAGGATGTACATGAATGGCCAGCCTATGGATGGTTGCTGTTGTGGTGTACCTCAGCGCGGTGGCGACGACACTGAGGGTTAACCAAGGATGTACAAGGATGGCCAGCCTATGTATGGTTGCTGTTGTGGTGTACCTCAGCGCGGTGACGACGACACTGAGGGTTAACAGAGGATGTGCAGTGAACAATGTTCTCTTTACTCCGCAGTCTTTTAACCAAGGGTTGTAATTTTGGCTGTACGTTTGGCAAACCTACTCATGTTCCTAATGAGTTTTGGTAACATTTTTCACCCAAGCGTTTGGGGGCGGGCTGATGAGAGCCACAAGGACACATCACCTCTGGGGGCCGCCGAACTCCGAGATCCCCTGACAGCTCTGTTAATGCTCATTTGAGACATTATCCGTGGCGCACGACGAGGACGTGCTGTAGGGGTCTTGCGTGAGGTTCCGTACAACCAGGATAGTAAAGGACTGGCGCCCGAGTGACGTACGGAGTATCTCCTTATACACATCATGTTGGACTTAACTTCCCCTCACGCCTGTGACATAAATCACCGCGCCACTAACCACCCTCTAAAATGTTGGACTGTCCTGTGACGTCATCTGAGGTAGGATATTAATAAAGCACTCTAGTACCTTCTAAACAGAACCTTTTAAGCAGATTTCTCAAGATGCTTTCTGGCAAATATATTTACTACTGGGAAATATTTGATGTATAGGAACCTCTATCTTCATTGTGGTGGACGGGGATATCAATAAGTTGTATAGGGAAATGATTACATAAGACACCAGTTTCTTCATAATTCACTTGTTATAAATATTTTTCTGTTCATACTGCATCACCCCGTCAATTTCTATGTGTTTATTATAGGACTGAAATATTTATTACATATAAATACAATAAATTTTCTCCAGAAACTCACTTCAAGGATAACCCTGCCCTATCCATGTTGAATGACTCAGACGAGGAAGTTCACTATTCGTAAGTAATCTGTCGATAACAGTTCATAATCATCATCAGTCAGATTGACAAATTTGTGGCACATAAGCAGCCCTAGAGACCTGCATCTCAAGGTCAAGCAATTTATTACTAGAATTGAAATCCATTTATAAAAGGTCAAGAATGCCCAATCTATCTTTAAAGAAGTTTTCCCTAAAGATAAAATTGAGGAGAACAGTCAACTATTTTACTAAGGGAATAATAAATCCAAAATGTTAATGACACAATGTTAGTGAAATTGTCTAATTATTTATAGTACCGCAGGTCGACCCAGCCTTGAGTGTGTACTGGGTGCAGTCCCAAGAAGTTAAGGTGGCCGGCAGGATGCTGACTACATCACCCATCTTGTGCCGATTGGCCTGTACAAATATAGGTCTAGCCCTATATGCCTAAAGGCGTGGAAAAGGGACCTTTACTTTACTACTTATTCATAGTACAGTTTCTATCATAATCATAACCCAAAACAGAACAATATGTTAAACAGTGCAAATTACTTATCGGTTATTTAAATAATTACATGATACATAAATATAAAATTACACACACACACGCACGGACGCACGCACACACACACACACACATATATATATATATATATACTCTGAGGACAATTAACACTATATATCCCAATTATAACCATGAGGGATGAACAGGATATTGTTGAAAAATCACTACTACTAGTGACATAACAAAAAGGTACCTAACTGACTCGATTATCATCATCAAGTGCCTTGCTAATTAGCAGTGGTTATCCTGCGTCTGCTCAACCCTGCTTTCCAAAAAAGTGTTTCACTTTGTGAGAGCACATATTTCTCTACCATGATACAACTATTATCCTTCAGTCTCTTTATCTTTTTAGTTTAAATGAAAAGTTAAACATGAAGAAGTTATTAGAATTTTGGAAACCTTAAACATTGATGACAAAGAAAAAGCACACGCTAGCAATCTGGCTAGCTTTACAAGAAATTGGATGAGGAATGACAGCATAAAATTGCAGAACTGTGGGTAACATTAACAGTATGTTCAGAACAGAACTGCCAGAACAAAAATACATAGACCAGTGGTGTTGAAGCAAAATGTCCCTCAGTGATCTGTTCTATTATCATTTTTACAACATATCACAACATTATTCCATGGTTTCCATAGATGATATTACAGAGAGTTATTCATAGTATACACCTCTTTTGCAGGTGAACATAGCATGTGGACTTTTATCTCCAGTAAAACAGAGGGTGGTTGGGGCACTGCTCCACTGAGGTTGAGTAATAGTGTAAACATTTTGAAATCCTAGCAGAGTTCCAACTCTCTAAAGGCACAGAATTCACACTGAAAGAATTTAATTGCCGATAGATGTATCTGATTGATTGAGTTTAGTCTAGACATGTGGAGATTAATCTCTGGACTATAACGGTTATATATTTTGGTTCAGGAATCAACACCACTGCACCCAAAAAACATTCCCACAAATGCCCTATCCCCTTTCTCAGCAGCCAACATAGTTCTCATGCTGAGGATACCAGTGGTAGCCTAAGTTCCTCTGTTTCTCCACTCGAACTTAAAAGAACGGTTGGCTTGTTGTATTGTGGTTTACAGCTAGGCTGAAATATCTGCACCTTTATGTTCAACATATTCAACTTCAGGAAATTCTTAAATCAGTCATTTCAGTGACAGGCTTGTTAAGAGGCAGTAGGTTTTTTTTTTTTTCCTGCAAAATGTGGCAGTGTAGAAGCCTGATTACAAGTCCACCTGTCTGTTCCTCATCTGTTGATTGAAGTTCGTACAGACCCTCTTCTCACACTCTACTGAATCATGAAATGATATGAAACCAGACAACAAGTAGAACCAGGCAGCCTCACAGTACCACAAACGACAAGTGAACGTTGGGGCTAGAGAACATTCTGACTGACTGACTTTTACCCCACCAGGACATCACACAAGCGATAAACACCCGGTGACACAAAGTGCCATCATTGCGGTTTAGGATCACCCGCGGAGAGGTCCCAGAAATCTCTTTCAGCCTTTATGCCATTATCTATGACTAGACCATGTATATCTATGCCCCAGCTATATTCAGGGCCCCCTGCAGAAGCCAGGGTGGGGCTTCTAAAAACGAAAAATTGCAACCCACATGGGGATCACTGATTAAGAGAACATCCATGAGCACATTATATAAATGTACTCCCCACAACGCCTAACGGCAAAAGGGGAAAATGATGATGTGATGACGTAACTGATGAGTAGTAGTCACATATCTGTCCTGGCCAGTAGAAAATCCGATGGGTGTGGCCACTGAAAATAAATACTGGTCAGAAAAATGCGGTGGTGACAAGGGCCATAAGTCAAAACTGTTTGATAAAACTGTTGAATGCTAAGCGCCCCCCACCATGAGTCAGTTTCTCCATGTGTGGATACTCTGTTTTAAAGCCACTAACTACTTTACTACTGCCCTCATTATTATTTGGATAAAACAACATGACAATGAAAACATATACTGTTGCTTTCCAGGTCTGATACAGAGGAAACCACATTGTCACGACCACATGGTGCATTACTAGACAGTGAGGTGGACACATTCAGATAGCCTGTACGTACATCTAGGCTGTTTTTTTTTTTTTTTATATGATTCAAACTCTTACCATCACTGTTGTGTGTGTGGTCATTGTAATTATAATTAAATGAACTTTACAACTGTAATATTAAATGAAAAGTTTCAGTTGCCAGTATGAGATGAAAGTCATTTGTAAGAAGCAGAAAGTCAAGGAGGCAACTACTGAAGAATTGTTTTGAGTCAGGGTAGACTTAACTCTTTCATTCCCAGAAGGTTTAGCATAAGGGGCCAATGGGATTGTAAAGAGAGATGTAAAATGACAAATTTTGTGTTAATTGGACTTTTACGTAGGAACTTATGAACGTATGATGCATTTTCTTGGAACTGAAAGATTTAAAATGCCAATGCTTGACCTAATGTTCCTGGTATGTTCAGATAAGTTATAATATGATTTTGACATTGTATTAACACCATTTCTCAGTTGTATATGTTTAGTGAAGGTGGTGTGGTGTTTCTGCATTGACTAAACAGCCAGCATGCTATATAAACACGATACTGTATTCCTCTTCTTCATCTTTTTCACTGTCACCAGCTGTAAACTCTTGCGGAAGTTTCTGGGTCTTAGTCCACCTCTGGACGTTAGTCTAGTTCCAGAACTTGATTATTGCGTGCACATCTGTTTCACAGATCTGGATTGTATAAAGATTCCCGGTTCCTTGCCTCTCACGCAGATGCACTCCAACTTTGAAAGAAATTGTTTTTTTTTTTTTTATTATTATTTTTTTTTTTAAATAAATGACCAAAAATAAAATATTTCATAAGAGTCAGCTAATTGGGAGCTTCCTTTGAAGTGGCATTGCATCTGTCTAAGAAGCAAGGGACCAACAGACTGCATACAAATGAGTCTCTGCTGGTTCCTTGCCTGTCAGGCAAATGCACTCTGACTTTGAAGGAAGCTCCCAGTTAGTTGACTGTCTGACATTTTACCCCCCGGGACATCACCCCAAGCTATAAACACCCGGTGACACAAAGTGCATTCGAATGAAGATCACCCGGGGACAGGTTCCAAAAACCTAGTTCAACCTATAGGTTGGGTTCTATTAAGGCCTCTGGCAACAGCCAGAATAGGACTTCAAAATAACATAAATGTGTGTCCCCCAGGGGACGGATATGTGCATAATTAGTGAGTCAGCTCTTATGACATGCTTTTGGGTAGGCAGTGGGTCTGTTCTGGTTTTCCCTACAGTAGGGCCCTAGAACCCACATGGGGACCAACCTGCATTTTTATAGATCAGTCAGCACCTGATGGGTCCTGTGGTAAACGGCCACATTTACTTACCTGGTGCCTGTTTTAGGTCGGCAGGGTGCCCAGGTTTTGACATATTTTGAAGACAATCTGCCTCAGTGTGGATTTAAACCTTAGTTCTTCGGGCCAGCAGACAAGGGTCTAGCAATTATTGTACCACAGCTTCCAGTTTACGGATACATTAAGTATGATAATATAACAAGAGGGACATTATGCATCGGCAGTTTTTGTGTGTGATAATTTTGTGAACCTAATGCAGGGAACTTTATTCTGGATTTTTGTACTAGTTATGTTTTTAGTAATTTTATACAGGGATTTTAAAATTTTATTATCAGTGCAGTTATTGAATTTGGTTTATTAACATTTTAATGATGGCATGTTACTACATAATTTTTTTGGGGGGGGGGGGGGGGGGGGGGGGGGGGGGGGGGGGGGCTCTTTTTGGTGTCATTTGGTTGACTCTTGTGATGTCATTGGGTTATGTATTTTATATATATATACACACACACACACACACACACATATACGCACCTACACACATATAAAACCATTTAATATGTTTCTTTTTTTGCTTTTATATGCTAATTTCACCTGCTGAATTAACACAGTGATGAGTTACTTGCAAGTTTAAAATGAAATGTATTTTCACCTTTTAACTTTAATTTTGAACCCATTGGAACACTTCACATCCAGAACACAGGCCTGAAGACCCAGTCAATGTTCTCACACAGAAGCAAGAAAGTATTGTATTTAGATTAGGCACTGGGCACAGGAGACTCCACAGCCACAAATACTGATGATTGGAAACTCAGAACGTTGCCCAGATTGCTAGGCACCCCAGAGTGATGAACATATGCTGCAGATATGCTCCTTACATGAAGTAGAAAGATCTCATGTCTGGCCAGTTCGCATTTAGTGGAAGCTGTATAATCAGTGAAGGATGCGTGTTACACCACAACTTTCATAGAGACAGTGGCCTTCTCATCTCTTCTTATTCTTCTTCTTCTGCCCATTCACTGGCTGTAGACTCTGGCAGAAAGTTATGGTTCTTCATCCACCTCTCAGCTTGTTCTGTTCCAGAACATGAGTGTTGTGTGCACATCTGTTTTACAGATCTGGCTTGTTTGT